GAGAAACACGTACGAACTACATAAACAGACGATAACTACTGTAATCAGATTCCTGACTTAGGACAGGTGCAAACATTTGCAACGGGATTAAACGTTTTAATGGTACCTAACCTTCTCCCTTTTCTGAAACAATAGTATAACATCACAACATAGAAAAACACACTATGAAACATCAATTGGAAGGCGTAACTCAATCAAAAAACGTAAATTAACACAAAATGAACGAATAAATTTGATCTGTATCACCTGACTCTTTTTGATTCAAGAACAATTCTAATTTTATGTAAAAAATGGTAAATTCCAAAATTGAGTTTTTAATAGTTAATCAGTACTCTTTTTTTTACAATTTTCAGAATGGAATTTGTCCAATTATTAACAAAATAATGATAAGTGATGTAAAAAGTGTACCGTATTATACGTTTGATCATTTTTAAAACTAAAGTTATTAATTGATCAGCAATTGTTTTTTTTATTCAGAATATATTAAGTGCTCAAAAATGCTTAAAACTTACCCTTAGTTGTATGCCATGTTAAAAAAAAACAACAAAAAACGACGATTATACAAACAGCAGTACACAAAACACAGCATAGAAACCCAGGCTTTCCTGAACAGGAAAATTTCATGTCTTTCTGTGTAAATGTCATGAAAATTTCATGAATTATGATCATGAAATTTCATGAAACATTCATGATTTTAACCATAAAATACCATGATATACCAAGTGCGTTAAATGGCACTATACAATTTCAGAGATCATAAATAACCATGAACAAAGTGTGGATGAAATATAATGAAATAACATGAGATGAAATACCATGAAATACCAGGTATGTTCAACTGTCAAATAAAATTTCATTGACCATGAACAAATTATGGATCAAATATAATGAAATAACAGGAGCAATCATGAACAGAATGAAATAACATGATCATGTACATGAACTTGAATGAATTATCATGATCAAATTTTAGTAAGTTCAAAATACCAAAACAATGATGCAAATAAGAAGACCAGATAAATCAAAAGATCAATTTTTATTAATACAGATGTTGACAGTCATTTTTGGGTAAAGCATGAAATGCAATCCAAACTCTATGTTACTGATTTGATCTTCCAAGCCCAATGTTTATCACTATTTTTGAGATACACAAAATAATTTGCTTTCATCCTATCCATGAACAGAAAAATGCCATGCATGGTTTGTATAGTATACAAAAAACAGTGACTATGGACAGCTTAAACCTCACCCACAAACTGAATACTTATACAAAAATTATGTGTTAGATATAAACTTCTCTTCCTTTCTGTAATTTAAAAGTTGCTGTCTCCGTACTTCCAACTAGAATTGCTGAATAAAGTCGTAATTGGAGTCTGCATAAAATCTGTTTCATATCATTATTGGCAGCTCCACTAAAAGTACAAAAATAACCACAAAGAATCAATTGTTCAAGAGGTTATGAAGCAGTAAATGCAATAGAAACATTATGCATTATATATTACATTGAAAGCGTAGGACTAAAATTTAGTACCCCCTTTTTTATCACTTGAAGCAGGAACATATATATTGATATACTGTTCCCAGCTTGAAGAGGCGGATAGATCTCAACCTGATAAACATTTTTACTCCCAATCAGATTTGCTCTAAATGCTTTACTTTCAGAAATATAAGCCAAGCACTGCATTTTACCCCTATGTTCTATTTTTAGCCATGTCGGTCATATTGGTTGGCAGGCGAGGTCATTTGACACATTTTTAAACTAGATAACCTAATGATGATTGTGGCCAAGTTTGGTTAAATTTGGCCTAGTAGTTTCAGAGAAGAAGATTTTTGTAAAAGTTAACGGACGACGACTGACGACGGACGACGGACGACAACGACGACGACGACGGACGACGGACGCCAAGTGATGAGATTAGCTCACTTTACCCATTTGGCCAGGTGAGCAAAAAGTCCAAAATAAAGTACGAATTTGAAGAGCATTGGGGACCCAATACAGACACACATGACCAAAAACAAACGTCTAAAAATTCAAACAAACATACTAATAAATCTAACAAAGACGAAAACAAAAAATTGTTGTAGCTGATAGTAAGTTTGACAAAGACGCTATCAAAAAATTTTTTGTTGTTTATAGTTATGTTTAAAACATATCTGTTTAAAATGAAAGAATCAAATAGGTTAATAATCAGGAATGAAGTTTACGTCAAACGACTGAAAACAAACTATCTGTCGATATTGTTTATTTTTAACATTCGTATTATCTATGTTTTATTCAACTGGCCAAAATACCACAGATATCCCATATATAGATATAAGAAGATGTGGTATGAGTGCCAATGAGACAACTCTCCATCCAAGTCAAAATTTATAAAAGTAAACCATTATAGGTCAAAGTAAGGTCTTCAACACGGAGCCTTGGCTCACACCGAACAGCAAGCTATAAAGGGCCCCAAATGCATTGAAAGCATTTTTAACTGAAAGCTTTCTGCTGACTTTGAAAATTATAAAATTTCGTGGAGTTGCAAAAAGATTTCTTTCCTTAATATCTAATATGATAGATATAGGAAGATGTGGTATGAGTGCCAATGAGACAACTCTCCATCCAAGTTATAATTTATAAAAGTAAACCATTATAGGTCAAGGTACGGCCTTCAACACGGAGCATTGGCTCACACCGAACAGCAAGCTATAAAGGGCCCCAAAAAATTACAAGTGCAAAACCTTTCAAACGGATAAACCAACGGTCTAATCTATATAAAAACGAGAAACGAGAAACACGTATGAACTACATAAACAGACGACAACTACTGTAATCAGATAGAATCAAATAGGTTAATAATCGGGAATGAAGTTTACGTCAAACGACTGAAAACAAACTATCTGTCGATATTGTTTATTTTTAACATTCGTATTATATATGTTTTATTCAACTGGCCAAAATACCACAGATATCCAATATATAGATATAAGAAGATGTGGTATGAGTGCCAATGAGACAATAGTATAACATAGAAATATACAAAACATTATTTCTTTTAAGCTTACACAAATTATTGAAAAGTAACGTTATTCTGGGAAAATAGTAGTACATTTTGTTAACTAAATAAAATAACAAACTTCAAACAACAAACATTTTATATCTTTTAACAAATCTTTGTTGCACCAATAAACGCACCAGTAGTCAAAGTCTCTTTTGATTTACACTGTTACAATCCACTGAATATCAAGGGAAATAATGAGCTAAAGCCACATGTAAATACTCTTATATTTGACTGATTTGCTGTCAACTGCAATATCAAATACGTTTGAAGGTATCTATGTTTCTCCCGATTGTGACATTTTGGCTAGGTGTGGAATCGCACGAAGAGTAATGCACTCAAAGATGAACACGCTTACCCTGTCGAAGTAAGCGATTTCCTATTTTTTGTTTTGGTTTTTATTCCTAAATTTGTATGTTCGTAATGAATTTATGAGATTTGAACATTGGTAAACTATTATTCCTTATTGGAATAGACTGGGTTCCTCGAATATACTGCTAACATTCTAGTTTTATATAAACAGACTCTCCATAAATCCCTCTCTTAACTGCGATGACTATTTATTTGTTTTGCTCACACATTGTTGTCAATATTATGGAATTTTATGCGACTGTCATACAAGTAGCAGGTTTAGCTAGCTATAAGACCAGGTTTAATCCACCATTTTCTACATAAGTAAATGCCTGTACAAAGTCAGGAATATGACAGAGGTTATCCTTTCAGTTGATGTGTTTGAGATTTTGATTTTGCCATTTGATAAGGGACTTTCCGTTTTGAATTTTCCTTAGAGTTCGGTAGATTTGTTGTTTTACTTTTTATAGATTGGTGTACTCGTAATCAAATTATTCAAAATTAAGGTAACCTTTTTTAATAAACTATCTTACCATCTTTGAGTGTTGTCTCATCTTTGGGGATTGATTAACTGATTATTTAGTGTACATGGACCAAAGGGTCCACGTGAGATTTCGCAATCACTATAGTCGGCCGGGACGTTATTGTCATGTACTAACGTTTTCAAAATCCGTTGTTTCTAATTGTACAAAAACTGTATCCGAATATGAGTTAATGTATCGATTTTTAGGATGTAAATCATGAACAAAAATGGCAACTGTAACTGAAATAGAATAGAAGGGCGGCTAGCAATTGTTTTTGGTTTATATATCGAAGTTTTTATAACGAAAGAGAAATACACTGAAAATCAAAACGATCAGAATACCAATTGATGTGTTTGTTTTCTTTTGAAATTTGATATGACTATTCCTTCCGATAAGTCATGAATAATTTCTTAACATATAATGTTAGAGAGTGGTCACATGCCTTTTAAAACCTCTTGTCCATATTAAAACTACTCTCAGACTGGTATTTGTTTTCGTTTCACAGACCACTACTTCAGTTTGAAACACAACCCATTTGGACGTTACATTGCGAATGATATCTATATATTCAAATTTGTTTCAAGATAATTAATTTCCTTTTAAACGGTCATTTTATTTTATCTGTCGGAGTGTATTTGCCGTTTTAGTATTGACTACCGGTCGTTGACGGCCATGTTTAATTTATTTACACCGTTTTCAGATTGGAGAGAAATACACTGGACAAATAATATGAAGACTTATCTATTTTTATTATCGCACACTTTACGTTGACCTCTGAGTTCTTTGTTTTTTGTTTAATTTTTGTACCTCAACATATTTACTCGAGGATTGATAATAATGCAGTAATTGTAAAATTTTGTCATTCATTTCATTCAGTTGATCATGCCATACATTTAAGAATCTGTAAAGCTCGTTTAGCATATTAGTTAAAGATACACATAATTATACTGAACTTTAACATATTTAAAGTTCATTGGTTTTTGATAGATAAAACTGATTCGTATAACCAGGAAGTAAACGTTTTGCATAAACCCTAATAAATTATATTCACCTATTCACATTCTTTTGTTAAAGTACTGGTTGTTATACAAAAGAAGACGTAACATATGATATGCATATTGTTGATGTATAAATTAAAAGCAGTTTTTGAAACTATTATTAAATAATTTCTTATAGATGAATCCAAGATGATTTGTATATTTCTGTTTCTCTGTTTCATAACAGTAACAACACTGGAAGGTAAGTGAAAATGAAAATAACATTTTATAAATTTTGTATGTTCGAAACGCTTTTCTGATCAATTTAAATACGCCATTTTGGTAAAGAGTCTTCTTGGTTGTTTACATTGAAACGAAAAGATGCATAAAATTCCATTGAATTCACATCATAGTCAGAGGTCCTTAATATTGCAGATTCTATCTACATTGATACGTAAGAAAAGACTGATTTTAAAACAAAATATACAGCTATTATCTAGCAATTATTTCCTTGTTCCATGTTGATAAAACGTCAAGAATACTCGCGGGTGCTTTGGTAATTTTTTTTCAATATGAGGGAGTGCGTTTTTCTTTTACCCTCTTTCTTATTTGTGGTTCGGTCAGTCGTCTTGATACGTGGTATTAAACAAATTGAGAAGTATCTGTGAGACCTTGTGATAATTCAATAGAGCAAGTTCAACCTTCTGGTGTCCCTCGAATATAAAAAAAAAATACGCGGTTATATTGCATTTTGTCGAGGTGATTTGAGTTTGTAAGGAAGTTCATAAGTGGCAAGAATCATGGCATGAACAGGCTCTGTTAGTTAATGACCATCGACGAAGGTGGCACAAACCTATTTAAACCCCTCGAAAATAAAAAAAATAAAACAAAACAATGATGAAGACAAAAACAACATGAGGTTACAATGCCGCACATATTTTTCCGAAGAACTGAACAATACATCATCAGATATGACTTGTTTAGTTGGAAGTTATCTGTTAGTTTTGGTATTATACATTTGGTCATTCGTATTGATCGCATTGAAAATTTATTGACTTGGGCCAAGTTGTTGTCCATGGAGTGAGTTAACAATTGTATACGATGTTCAGAAAAAGTTGATGTAAGTACCAATAGAAATGTAAATAAATTGGATAAATGTGTGTGACACAAAATCACTAAAGGATATGTAATCAGCATCAGAAAACGCTAGGTAGATGAAAAAGAGAGGCAAAAGATACCAAAGGGACATTCAAACTCATAAGTCGAAAATAAATTGACAACGTCATGGCTAAACATGACCAACAGACAAACAATAGTACACAGAGCACAACATAGAAAACTAAGGACTGAGCAACACGAACCCCATCAGCAACTAGGGTGATCTCAGGTGCTCCGGAAGGGTAAGCAGATCCTGCTCTACATGTGGCACCCGTCATATTGCTCATGCTAGTACAAACTAGGTAATAAGTCTAATTCGGTAGGTCACATTCGGGGTCACATTCGGGGGGAAGGGGACGGGATTGTAGTAACGACATTTGGAACATATCTCTTTTGTCGTATAATTTTGTTTTGTTTTCAACCGACCCTCATTGTCAATTTCTAGATGTAAGTCAAGATATGAGGCAGACTTAATTCTATCTGTTGTATCCTTTATTTGAAGTTCGATTGGATAGATGCGTTCAACATAGTCATCACATTTTGTATTATTTAGTGAGAAAACAACATCTATATAGCTGAAGTAAAATTAAAGGATACTGCTAACTTCTTTTCTTTCTTCCTAAGAAGTTCCTGTATGAAGTCAGCCTCATATGAATAAAGGCACAAGTCGGCAAGAAGAGGGGATGCCGATTGTTTGTTGAAAAACACGTCCTCCAAACGTAACAAAGAAGTTGTCCATCAAGAAATCAAGAGAATTTTTGTTTGAATCAGAGTGATTTTTTACAAAATAGGATTTATCCCTCCCTTAGACAATATACTTGTATCTACATTGGCCATTCTTTTTTATCAAACAAACCAGGACCAACTCTATCAATTTGTCTTTTAGTTTGGAATTGGGAATACTTGTGTAAAGTGTAGAAAAATCAAATGTTTTAATATTATTGCAAGATGAAAGATTCTTAGATTGTATGTACTCTAAAAGATCTTCAGAATTTTTTAGTACCCATACATGATTTACGCCACCTCTAGAATAGGTAGTTTCACAATAACTTGGAAGCCCGGCTTTGATAGCTGTTAAAATTGACGTTAATAATTTAAAAAGAGGAGCACTTGGAAGACCCAGCAATTTAACGTTGTTTGTAAGGACACTTATGTAGTTTAGGTATCAAATACAGTGATGGAAGATCAAGTTTTTCATCTTTGGTTGAAATTCCAAAGGAAAATAGAACAGACCTATGATTATCCAGGATTTCCTCTTTAGTAAGTATCGTGGGGGTATATGTTGAGTTTCCAAGTGAATGATCAATACCTAGTTCATTTATCAAGAAGTTTATGTAACGTGATTTACACACAAAAACGGGGTTGTTTGGGGCGGGAACAACAACATATTGCTCATGGAGGTAGGACAAATGTTTTGCAACATTTTGGTCTTTTAAGATTGATGTAGCATGGGTATTCATAGACCCATTCAATTTCTTAATTCTGATTTGTATTAACGACCTCACAGCCTTAATGCATTTGGAAATAATATCTATGTCTTCTTTCTCGCGTTTAACCCATTGCCTGGCATAATCCTCGACTGAATCCATCAGTATTTTGAAGTTGTGTTTCCAATTGATGGATTAAGGCTCATGATATTTCGGCCCTTTGGATAACTCATTTCGCAGAGAAGTTTTATGGAGAATGTTTAGGTCACCAGTATCAACGTGGCCAGCAGGATTATATATGAATGGGGAACTAGCACAAGTGCAACCAGGAGGTTTAGACTTTAGGTCGTCAATATTGAGATCCTGCAACACGTGTTTGTAATTGAAAATTTTATTTGCAGTTGGAGTGTTATAGGTTTAAGAAATGATAGGTACAGACTGATCTTTAAAATAGGGAGGTATGTTCGAGTGAACTGATTTTTGACGAAGGATATTGCCTAAGTTGATGGCATAAAAGGAAAGTTTAAGAAAGGATTTTTCTTCATCTTTTCCTTTGCGAACTGGTTTGGAAAGTCTGTGTAAGTTTGTATTGGTTTGAATGAAGGTTTATAGACTGGTTTCCAACCATAAGTTGTACAGAGAATGAAGTTTTGAAAGGGTAACGAATAAAGCTTCGTGCAAGTGTGATGAATACTTAACGGTGTTTGTATAAATGGCAGAAGTTCATTAATAGAGACATCATGGAGAGTAGGTAATGTATAATGACGATGACCATGACTGCGTCTACGTCGAGGAGTAGAGTTGAAAATGTTAATCATATTTACCGAGTTGCAAGAAGAACTAGTTATATAATACCTATACCATCAATTTTGTCATTACAACCATATGGTGTCGCATTTTCCAATTGTCCAAGTAATCTTTTTACGGAGAGGTGTTGCATGATGAGGATTGTTAGTCCTGTGATATATTTATTCGATGATGCGAACTTCCATAGAAAGGACTGACTGATCAGGCTGGTTAAAATGCTGGTATACAATGTCGCTTGCATTGTTGTTGATGTCTGATCTATGGCTGCACATACGTTTATGTAGCCTTCCGTTCGTTTCACCGACATATATCAATCCGTAAAGGTTACACTTTAGTCCATAGACGACATTTGTTGATTTACAATTTAGATCATCGTAGCTTCTGGTAAAAAGATTTATAGAAGTCTGAATCACTCACACGAAAGGCACGTGAATAGTACAAAAAGATGGCATACGGCACGTTGTTCATTAATCTTTATATTAAACGCCAGAACGTCAATCAGTAATGTTGTAACGATTTGTACATTACTACAAATCAGTATCGCTTTTTTCTTAAGCTTACTAGCTAGACGATATGATTAATGTTTATACATGAATAGATAGACATGATTGTAAAGTTATATATTAAACTATTAAAAATGGAATCGATGATCGTGTAAATAAAGTTAATACTCATTGTATAATACGTCAACGTATTTTAACAAGACATACCCTATTGACATGGTGTTATTTGTTTATTGCCTTATCTTGATTATGATTTTCCTTTGTATCGTTCGCCTTTTTAGTATATATTGTGAAACGACAATGAGACCATTCATACCTCTATCTCATTGTAAAGTGTAACATAACAAAAATAGCGAACTTATAAAAAGTTATACTGTTTACGTGTATCGATCAATGAACGACAATGAAAATGTTTGAACAGAAATCATATTCTCTTATGGTTGTGTCCTGTTATCTATTTCTTGCATGATGAGATATTTCTCGTATCATACTGCACGAAGTGTGATACGAATAAGTGATACGAATCTGCGTTAACTTGATTGGCTTATCAAGCCTCATGAGACGATATTGCGACATTTCCATTGTCTGTTCGTTAGGTCATTGATGACTTTCAAAGGTGAAAACGATGTACATTTCATCCATGGCAACGGACATATGTGATTTCTTCAAAAATATACAAAATACTCACGCTTTTCACCAGGAAATCTGCTTTTTGTCAAATTTAATTACATTATGAAGCGTACAATTGCAAAACACATTGAAATGTCTTATGTTAAAGTTTGACGCCGGAGCAGGCCACATGACGTCTTACTGCTATGTGCAAAAGAAAAGATCAACGATTCGAGGAATTTTCAATTTGACACAATGAAAGTGTTGACCATAAGAGAAAAAGATTTAACAGCTCGTGAGAATTGGATATCGCTTGAAATCAACTCTTACTATATAGTTTAAATAGTTATTATTTGAATAAAAAATTAAATAATTCAAGTTGATATCAAACGATATCCCATTCTCACTCGTTATGAGATCTATAAATAACTGCATGAACGAGTTGTGAAATATAAAATTATATTCTTTATAGTATTTGTTTACAGTTTAAAATTTCATTGGTGTAATACTAGTTATACTGCTAGTATTCAAATGTCTCGTCCTGAATTTGCACGAATATTTGCCTCTGACCTTTAAGCAAGCAAAAATCATCATTCTCAATCTCGAATCAACCGGTTCTTCGTGTCATACATTGTTTGATTGATTGTTGGTTACTTTATGTCCAGCTGTAAATATTTCATGCATGTCCAGGACAAGAACAAATTAACAATACATACAATAAGTATGTCCTGTTGTAGAGGCTGTCTCGGATGAAGGTTGTTTAAAGTTATTCAAATACTTCGTGTTTATCATGATTCAGATACTCAACATTTCTCTCATATTTTATGCAGATCCATGCTTTACTACAAAACTAATCGACGACTGGCGACGATCTGTAGCAAATGGAGCTTCTTCACAAATATGTGATAACGTTTTGGAAGAAGGATGGTACAGAGTAATATCTGGTTCCGGAGAATTAATGCCAACAGTGTGTCCATATTGGGGATTTCGTTGTGGAACGACAATTCCATTTTGGCTATCATCAAGTAAGATGTAAACATACTAGTACTACATGTTATGGAGTTTGGGTATTATTAACTGATCGAAAACAATTTGAATGTTTGTTTATAGGCTTAAATTTTAAGATATTAATCTTATTCGTAAAGCATGTCTGAATTTTACTACCGGTTTTACATATATTACTGAATGGTCGCTTGACATGAAGTTATTTCGTATATTTCGCAGTAATCATTTCAGAAGTTTGTTTTCCCGAACGCCGTCAAAAGATATTCAGTGGTCAATATCGGGTCTTCGGCAATATTCTTTAAATAAACTCGAATCAAGAAAAGTTGTTTAAAATAAAAAAAAAAAATATAATCACATACTTAGAGTAAATACATTACTATGTTTTACTTTATAATATTAGCTTTATATTTACGTTAATAATATATTTCCCCACAAATATGCCTGACGAACTCATATAAAAACATTATTAACTGCAATTTACATTGCATAGCTTTTACAGTGTTGTCGCATGGATGGCAATTTGTCGCAAATCAAATAATACATTGATAGTAGTATAGAACATGTCGCCATTTAATAATTCCCTTAATGTCAAAATACACCAAGAATGAAAGACAACCACTGACGAGGGTATTGAATGAGGTCTGACACAACAACCTGTGACGATTAAAGTGTATTTTTTAAATTTTGGGACAGGTAGTCCTCATTTAATTGATCGTATACTAAAATTTACGACAAAAGAGACAATTTGTCGTTCTCTTTTTCTAATTTTTCTTTTTTAGACGGTGTTGTTCTTATAGGTTTCCTTCAATGTATATATGTCTAATATCGCTAGCCATATCCATGTTTGTAGTACTGTTAAATTTTGCAATGAACATTGTGTATTAATGATACATTCTTCGGGCAGGAATTTTTGTTATTATAGCTTTAATATGTCAAACCTTTACTAAATTTTTTCTTAAAATAAAGATTTGGTCTGGAAGTTTGGCTATGACTGATAGCAAATATGCTATCACATCCTGTTTTCAACGGTGAAATTCTTTAGATACAATAAACTGAATAATTCATTGAAAAACATGTTGATATAGATTATCGATTTAGAATTGTAGCAAGATTTTAAGTATTATATTTATATGCAACTACATCGATTTCGTTTTAAATGGTTTAATACACAACTAAGCATGTATTGCTATCCAGCTATTGACATTATTCCTGTTGATATTTATACTATGACATTCCAAAATGTCATGGTTTTCTCAGACTGATATTGTCGTCTTTACACTTTACACTTCTTTGCTGAAGAATGAGTCAGCTGTTGGTTTTCTCTTTTGAATAGTTTCACATTTTGACAAACCTGGGGCTTATCATTTGTTATGAACTTTGCTCATTGTTGAAGGTTCTGCAATGACCTGTAATTGTTCAAATCAATACAAGCTTATACATATCCTGAAAATCTACATTTTGTGCATTATAATTTATAAATGACCAAGACAAAATACCTTAAGGTAGCACAGCAGTCTATTCATTTTGAATGGAATTGTTTATGCTTGAAATGTCATATCTGTGTTATCTGATAATGTATACAGACATACCGCTGAGATGAAAGTTAGAACATCCAGTGAACTACCAGTAAAAACACCCAATTACCCATATTATATATAAATTAGAAAATCTTAGAAAAGTGCTATATTTGGAGAAAATATGGATAGTTTTCATAACTTCTAATTGTCGAAATAATCACTTCCTGTTTATTCTAAAACATTGTGCAGTATCTGCAATATGTTCATATTAGCAAAAGTTGCATGCTCTAGAATATTGTCTCATATTTTTGTTATCGTGTCCTGTTTGGGAATAATGGCTGGATTCTTTTTCGTTCCAGTTATCGTATTTATGGTAGACATTTAAAAAATTATATATGCTTTTGTTGCATTTTTAAACTTCTTTTACGAAATAAACATGCATTGAGTATTTCATATTTCTTTAGCTAACAACGTAATTTAAAAAAAAAAGGTGTAATTTTTATTTCAGTTCCCCCCATGTATAGAAAAATAAAGCATATAGGGTATCCATCCATGACACAAAACCAGTACATGCGCAGCAAAAAAACAAAACACAAAAGCAAAGGAACCTGCTTTTATTGCTGTTCTTCATCTCAAAGTTACAGTGAAGCCTTCAACACGGAGCAAAAAAACTCTCACTTCACCGCAAATTTAAGACGACCCCTAGCACCTGATTGAGCGGAATTCTTTGCAAAAACAATTTGGATAGACGTAATAGACGTAACACCACAAAATCGGGGCTGGTAAAAAAAGGACATACTGGAAAGTAGTACATATTTAAAACAAAATAGTTCCTACGCATAGGTGTAAATCTAAACATATGTAGCATATATTGTAGTAATAAAGGTATCAGATGAAATGTGAAGGACTGGTGATCCTTGTAGAACACATAGTTAACTGATAATTTTGATTACTACAACAATGTATGAATGAATTCTAAAAATTGAGGACATATATTTGAAAAACAAAGGATATGGGGTATCCATCCATGACACAAAATCAGTTCATGCATTGGCTGTTTCTCAAATATGAAGTACCTGGTTTGGTAAATCAAAATGGTAATTTATAAATATGCAGGCAATTATGGATTTAATCATTCTGGTGGAAATGTTTTCTGGTTATGTCTACCTTAATATTGTACTTCAAATGTCTTTATGCCGTTTTAAATGACAAAGTTATAGCTATTTTTATACGATCACCCAAAAGTTTCATGAATTAGATTGTTGTGCTACATTAATTTGATGATTTAGCATTTTGTTGTCAGTTGCGCTTGGAAATACATTTACGAAATCCGAAAGAAAAAAGTGTTAGAGGTGTATGGAGGTGCAAATTGCATAGAAGATAGCTGGTTGAATATTTAATATTGTACATGCGTATCAAAGGATAATGATTTAATGTTATATATTGATATCAATGTTCAGTATGGTAAGATGTATTGTCCATGGGTTGTTTTCTTACGAATTAAAAGCAAATGAAAAATCAAATGATTCGTCTTTTAACTGCTAAAAGATCAGCATTTGTATGAATTTAACACCTACTGTAAATCTTGATAAATGATCGAAAAAATATGACCACACTGTTGCTTTGTTTAATTATCTGTCAAATATTTTGTTTTATGACAAAATCGGCAGAAAACATCAAAGTTCTGAAAAAATCGTAATTTTTTTCTCTCGCTTCAGGTGAAGTAACGGGATCCTTATATCCAGACAATGGCAGTATTGTAAATAGAACAACTTGTGGTGCGAACTATTATGGCGACTGTTGTGAAAAAACCATCGATATCAGAATTAAAGATTGCGGCTGTTACTATGTCTATTATTTGAAACCAACAACTGGTTGTTATTCAGCATATTGTTTTGGTTAGTTAATTATAGATAGTGCAAACATACAGACTATTTTCTCTTTGTCTCCTTTATTTCGATAACATTTTAATAATGTAGCAAACTTTTTATATTTTATTTTTATTATTTAACGCCATATTTACATCTCTTTTTGTTCTTTTATTTATGTAAGGCTTGACTTCAAATTTATCATATGATATCACGCGATAACACTTTTCCCTTCCTATACGGCTCGTACCATTATTCGTACTTTGTCAGATATTTTTTACTGTGCAACTTCTCTCAAATCATGACAAATTGAAAGAGAGAAACATTTTTTGCTTGCAAGAAAATAAGTGAAGTATTTATTCTGATCCCTATGTAATGAAATAATATTTCAAAATAGGCAATACTACAGGATAAAACAGCTTAAAAAAAACAAACAAGCACGATTTGTTTTTCAAATGAAATCGTAAAATTGACTAAATGGTAATTTAAACGTATATATTTTCTGTTGATCACCAAAAAAAAAAACTATATACTTATTAAATTTCACCACTTAGGGAGAAAGATCACGATTACGGCACACAACTCGTTAACATTACTAGTCTTTTGTATCAACCATTTTTACAAAAGGCATGTAGTTATTGCATTTGGGGTTGTACGGTGGGTGTTTGAGTTTTATGAACCGTTCAACAAATGCCTAATAAAAGACAGGCGAAAGATACCAAAGGGACATTCAAACTCATAAGTCGCAAATAAACTGACAACGCCATGGCTAAAAAAGAAAAAGAAAAGACCAATAGACAAACAACAGTACACAAAACACAACATTGAAACTAAAGACTAAGCAAAACGAACCCCACCCAAAACTGGGGGTGATCTCAGGTGCTCCAAAAGGGTAAGCAGATCCTGCTTCACATTAAGCACCCGTCGTGTTGCTCATGTTGGTACAAATCTAATTCTAACTCGGGCGGTCACATTTGGGTAAAAGGGGACTGGATTTTAATTACGACAATTTGATTATATCCGCTATCATCTGTGAAACGGATATTCAATAACGGTCAACCAACTCGTGATGGCGTCCGTAAATTCAAGGGATGATTTCAACTTATAACTTGGAACTCTTGGTTTAAATAAATATGAATTTTAATATGTGTTTACTAATGACAAAATGAAGGTAAAATGAACGATTTATATTTCTGTCGTTTTTTTATTGTGTTATTGTGCTGTGGTAAATTTTTGTGTTCTTGTCTTTCGTTTTTGCTAAAGTGCTTTGTCAATATGCCTTTTTGTTTTTCTTTGTTGGCATATTTGCTTGATTTTGTAGTGATTTATTTGACGTGGCTCGGTACTTGTACATCCCGTCATTGTGTTGTTGTGCTATGGTAAATATTTTTATTCTTGTCTTTCGTTTTGGCTAATGTGATTTGTCTATATGCCTTTTTGTTTGTCTTTGTTGACCGATTTACTTGTTTTTGTAGTGATTAACAGTATAACACAATGTTGAAAGCTGTACCCCTATTTTTGACATTTTTACCTATTATGTCTGTTTGTTTTGTTCACACATCGTTGTCAATATAATGGAATTTATGCGACTGTCATACAAGTGAGAGGTTTAGCTAGCTACAAAACCAGGTTTAATCCACCATTTTCTACATGAGAAAATGCCTGTACCATGTAAGGAATATGACAGTTGTTATCCATTCGTTTAATGTATTTGAGCTTTCGATTTTGCCATTTACTTAGAGACTTTCCGTTTAGAATTTTCCTTGGAGTTCGGTATTTTTGTTATTTTCATTTTTGATAATACGTTTCTTGATATAAAATGCTATTATAAGTCGTGTGTGTGTAATTCATTTAAAACTGTTTCAATAATATTTTTTTTTTAATCGTAATATGGTGTGCCTAGTGAAAGAATTGTTCGATATTGACAATTTTGACAACTGCCATTTATGAGTTATATCCCTTCATTGCTTCAAAATAATGGCATTAATGCATGTTCAATAAAACACGTGATTTTTTTGACAGCATTATGTCATTAATATATTTTAATTGAGAAGCGAAAGATACCAAAGGAATAATTAAACTCATAAGTCGAAAACGAACTGATGATGCCGTGTCAAAAAAAAAACAAAACGAAAAAAACAACCAAAAGACAAACAACAGTATACAAAACACAACATAGAAACCTACCGACTGAGCAACACGAACCCCTCCAAAAGGTTGTAAATTACACAAACCTTTTTATATTTGTTTAAAATTAAAGCTAAAATCATGTATGAAACCGACTTTCAAATGTATAATGATTAGGTTTTTAAAGATTCATCATTCATTTACTGACTACGAAAATTATTTTTAAAACTGTAAAACCAAATGCAGTTGATCATAACACCACCTTTCACAAAACATGCTTTTATTCCGATTTCGCTGTCACAGAAAAATGTATATTTTCAATTTAAAGTTGACAAGATAGAATAAATGCATTACTTTAAAGCTAGGCATGTATGTTTTTTGTTTGTAAATAAGAGGCGCTATTTCAGTGTATGTTGAAACAGCGAGCAGGACATAATCTTCCGAGTTTCTCAGATATCTGTAATTAAATTGATAATAAATTAACTTGGAAAGAAATAATGGACTCTAAACACCTTTTCCTCTATATATCGTATATGTCAGTTAATACAAAAACATGACACATTTTGCAGAATCGTATACCTTAATCAGTTTTTGTAGAAAAGAATCTTCAAAGATACCAGGTTTAATATCTAATACACCAGATGCGCGTTTCGTTTACATAAGACTCATCAGAGGCGGTCGAATCAAAGTTGAAAGACTAAATCAGTTTAAGTTAAAGTAAAAGTATGTTACGTCTGGCATAAAACCACTGAACTGAAACCAAAACCCCGTCGTCACTGGTAACCAATTTAGCCAAATAGCAAAGAAAGGAAGGTAACTATACCATGTCATTTTATTGTTTTAATATAGTTTTTATTTTATAAAGTTTTTACTGGAAACTTTTACTCTACTTATTTTGATCATGCACATGTATAAATATGAAAAACACTAAATATTACTTTTAAATGAAAAATAAAATGCTTTTGCTTTTATTTTGAGTTTATCAAAAGCGGAATTTGTGTCATGAAATAAGACTTTATGTCCCTTCTTTTCTGTAGGTAATCAACTGCCATGCCCTGATGGTCTGACCTCATCAACTGGGTTTACACCAGGATGTACAAATAGTAGTTGTAAGTGGAAAAGTAAATTGAATATATCTTTTTATTTACTACTTATTCATAAAATACGAAATCCGAAATGATGGTTAGTGATGTAATGAAAAATAACTTAAAAATTCTCATTTTTTTTGTAGATTAAATATGAAATGATGGTTCTATAAATATTAAAATAAATCATTAAATGTAAAATGCTATATAAAGTACGGACGATTGTATACGTTTGTTGCATGCTTACATACCATAATAACCGAATAAGAAGATATAGATCTTTAAATTGTATATTTATATGAATGCACTATTATTGTTTTATAAATGCTTATCCTAAATGATGTGTTTGCCTTATAATGCTTCATCTATCTGGAGCTGCTTGGTGTTATAAATGCCTGTTTGTGCTTGATAATATGTGTTTATGTTTCTAACCAAATTCATTAGCATATTGTATAAGATAATCTTATTTTGATGATTTTTTTTTATTATAAAACTCTTTTAAATTTCTGTATGTATGTATGTAGATATCATGAACTTTCTATAGAAAAGCTTTAAAAAAAAGATTTTTTCTAATAACTAGTTATATTTTTTTCGTATTTTCTATAAATTATCAATTTTTATTTCAATTTTATTGTTTTCATTATTTTTATCTCTGTATCAAATCAGTAGAAGGGAAATACAAGTGTGGTAATAGTTCAATTAACTTCATATACAGATTATTATTATCATTATTATTATTATTACATAGCTTTTATATAGCGCCTATCTAATAAACATAATACTCTAAGCGCTCATTATGTGTCTAAGTCAATTTAAATTCTGATCTGATAATCTTTTCGGGCATCTTCAATCCTACTGTCAATATTGGCATATGATTTGTATAACAATCAAATAACGATGATCTTAAACGTTGTTTAAGTTTCTGTGAATTGCCTGCCTTATTTGAAAGCTGCATAATTTACTGATTTTCCGGAATGAAAGTTCTAAGGAAGTCACATTAAAGAGGAAACAGTAGATTTCCGATATTCTCAACTCGTAAATGCAATCTGAATACACAAAAAAGAGAAAACTCCTGAAGAATCACTAAAAACCGATCATTTAATTCATGATAGTTTTAGTTAAACCTGCGTTTAGTTGATTTCAATTTGAATTTTTCAAAATCGGTATATTTTGATGATATCGTCATCGTTGTAATGCGTTATTGGAATCAATGGGTTCTTAATATCGGACGAGTTTTCATTCCATTGAACAAATAACTAGTATTTGTCTCCAGTTAACCAATAATGTACAGACAAATTGATTCAATATCAATATTTTCTCTATAATGTATAAATGCACATAAAACAGTTAATTGGTGTGTTAATTATCTATTCTTCAAGATTATTTTGATTACTGGTTGTATCATAATCGTGAGTACTTGTACCTGTTAGACTATGAATATATGTTACCGTAGTTTTCACACATAAATTAAATTGAAATGGCAAAGTTTATATATAGAATAATGTATTTTTGTCTTTAATTGTGTAGGTAAACATTAATTGTTAAAAAATGAATAGTTTCAAAATGAAAAAAAAAATGAACAGAAGTGTGGGGTACATGTAAATAAGACAGCAACTCGTCCATTTTTCAAAAGGAACTCAAGGATCGGTCTTGAAAACAACATTTCCCTGAGAACCAACAAAGAAAAAAAAAACCCCAGAAAACGATAACAACAGTAAGATAGAGCTATAGACAGTTACCCACAAGGTTCTCTTCCTTGGACATTCCCATGAATGTGTAGTAAGGTTAAATTATGTCTTGAAATCTCAATCTCCCCCTTTTAGCTTACACCCAACTGTCTTTTTCTCTGGTTTCGTGCAACGCCATGCACAAAACAGAAAATAAACATTTGCACAGAAAAAGCATTTAAATCTGTTATTAGAATATACTATACGAAAAATCAGTTTCACAAAGAAAACGTTACTCATGTTTACCGTTTCAAAGAATTATAAAATTCGCGGCTGCACTTTTATTTTTAATTTAGAATAAGTTATGTGATTAAAGATTAATCCGACTCTTCACTTTTAAAACGCTTGCTGTATGAATTAATCTATGTAATATAAAATATCTCTTTGTTCTTCAGGTGAAAGAATTGGAAATCCTCAAGAAAACTAGTGCAATAGGAGGTAGATATTTTTATAACTGATATCATGTGTTATTACCGACCGTGCAGGACCCTGATGGCTAGTCAATGTCGTTAAAACTCCCCTCGTCGTCATGTGTTTTTGAGGTTTAGACAGGGTATATATTAAAATGTCACATTATATACCCTTATGAAAGCTGAATTACACTTCTATTACGAAATATCCCTGTCTGAATGTATGTTTCAGTACTAGCTACTAGGTATTTGCCAGTTGAACATATATACACAATGCAATGTGGATATTAATTACATGTTTTTGTATTTGTATATTTCATGAAACTCCAGCCTTAGTTAGTCTTGTGTGGATTTCCAAATTTAGTTCATTTATATGTTTTGGAGTTTGGTGTGGCGTCATTTTTCGCATAACTATTGTACATTTTTGTTATGGGGTCAGCTGAAGCCCGCCTCCGGATGCGGGAATTGTTTGCTGCGATCAAGACCCATTGGTGGCCTCGTGCTGTTTTCTTCTCTTTGGTCGGGTTGTTGTCTCTTCGACACATTCCTCGTTTGCATTCTCTATTCTAAATAAATTATCAATGAACAGAAAAATAACCCTCCTCCTCCCCCTAAAAGAGACAAAAAAAAAAAGAAACCAATTTTGTTTTAGATTAATTGTTACCATATAGATTTGATATCACAATTTTTTGGAGGGCAAATGTATGTGTAATGAATTACTTGATAGTCGGAGTATAAACACTTTTTGCTTCTAGGGTAGAAGACTTAACAGTTTTTCATCTTTTTACTACAGCCTCTGAAGTTATATTTTTGGTTATTGCAGGTTATATTTGGGCCAAATGAAATTAAACTTTTATGAACTAGCTACAGGCTTGCACATACCCACGTTCATTCTGTAAAAACTTATCATTGATATGTTTCACTTGTCGTATCCACAATCTTATTCTGTTGTTTTTCTCGAAAATATCATCATCAATTGCGATAATTTACTAAATGTGCACTTGCCATGAACAACACGACGACAGGAACAAGAACTTATGAGCCTTACAGGGTATTTCCCCGGTTTTATAGAGTGTTGATCAATCTTTTTGTTGTGTCGTATATTGGAAATGTGCTGGTCTTTTCATCCTTTTTTTTCATGGAAATTGGTATTTTCTGTATATCTTAAACTTATGGTTTTTGATTGTTTCCTTGTTTGAATTAAAACAAAGAACGAACATCATTTTTAACATGATGGACTTGGTATCTGAAAAAGTTTGGGAAAGCTATGACAAATTTAAAGTGTGACTAGTTAACTTACGGACCAATTGTAAATCAATAGTCACTGCCGAATTACATGAATGGGACTAACGTGGGTTTGTGTAGCTCAATCATTCGGTGTATGTTAATGTGTTTTGTACGACATTTTTTTCCTTCTATCTATCTATTTATCTATCTATCTATCTATCTATCTATCTATCTATCTATCTATCTATCTCTATTGTGTTGGTCATGGCGTACGCATCTATCTCTCTTCTACTTAAAGCTTGTATTGCCCCTTTGCTATCGTCTCTCTTTTTAACAATGGCTGCAAAACAGATTGCAAGATTAGAAGAATTAATCAACACCCCGTACCTTATAAACTCATAAAGTTTTTTTGCATAGTGAGCAGTATGCACTTTTGATTTTTTTTAAATAACGAGAAAACACAAACTCTGACAAAATTAACTCATCATAGATACCAGGATTGAAATTTCGTATTTGTGCCAGACGCGCCTTTCGTCTACAAAAGACTCATCAGTGACGCTCGAAGAAACAAAGTTAAAAAGTCCAAATAAAGTATGAAGTTGAAGAGCATTGAGGGCCAAAAATTCCTAAAAGTTTTGCCAAATGCAGCTAAGGTAATCTATTTCTGAGGTAGAAAAGCCTTAGCATTTCAAAAATGTAAAATTTTGTAAACAGTGAATTTATAATTATGTCCATATCAATGATAAATCATGTCAACACAGAAGTGATGACTACTGGGCTGATGATACCGTCGGGGAATAAAAACTCCACCAGCAGTGGCATCAACCCAGTGGTTGTAAATAAACTCATCATACATGATACCAGGACTGAAATTTTGTATTTGCGCCAGACGCGCGTTCGTCTACAAAAGATTCATCAGTGACGTTCGAATAAAAAAAAGTTAAAAAGGCCAAATAAATTACCAATTTGAAGAGCATTGAGGACCAAAAACTCCTGAAAGTTTTGCAAAATACAGCTAAGGTAATCTATTCCTGAGATAGACAAATGATAGAAAAGCCTTATTATTTCAAAAATGTAAAGTTTTGTAAATAGTGAATTTATAACAATGACCATATCAATGATAATTCATGTCAACACAGAAGTGCTGACTACTGGGCTGGTGATACCCTCGGAGAATAAAAACTCCACCAGCAGTGGCATCGACAAACACAACTAAGGAAGAAGTAAACACAGTTTGTCGAGTGATAAACGGGGAGGATGTTGGCAGTTCGGAACTTTTTTTTTATGGATTCATAGGAATAGTGTTATTTTTGGTTTCTGATAGAGTTCACATATAAGCCAATTATATACGATTGACTGAATAGATTTAATCATTATATGATCACAGCCCACCTAACTTTCACAAATACAGTTCTATATAAAAAAATACAAATAGGATACTCTGTAACATACATTATACAACATAAATATTAAAGTACGGCATGACGTGCTGCGTGTAAGACAAAATAAAGACACATGCGAATATGTAGAATCATTTTTCTTTATTAATTTATTAACATACACTTCTTACATAATTCTCAAATAACGACCCATAAATATTAATTTGGCGGATTTATTGGTTTACCTAGTAAGTGTTTTCAACATTCAAAATAAGTAAAAAAAATATCTGATTAAGGTGGATTGGGGGTCTTAATTAAAATCCATAAAATTTATCAAAATGTAGTTTTTATCATGCCTTTTATCCAAAATATAAAAGTATGGGTCACCGGACTTTTTTGTTCACGCTACAGGTTGGGCAAAATTGTCAGGTTTTGTATAGATTATGCATGGAAAATCCAATTTTGTGTGATGAAAATAAAAATACACCATAGAATCTTAAGATAAAATGTGCGAAGATAGCTCTTATTTCTTGCTTTCAGATAAGAAAAAGACAAAATGGGGTCACCGGACTTGTTTTCTTGTTACATATTAAAATTGGTAAATCCACAACACTTTCTATTATAAAAATTACTTTATCTGAGTCATCTCCCAGTATGTTGCAAATTCGAAAAAAAAAAATAATCAAACAAAAATATTGTGTTTTTTAGAAAATATAGCCGTAAATATGATAAAACACACTATTTTCTATATTAGCATAAAACGTTTTACACATGAATTACATACTACTCTCAAAATTTGCACGTTTCATTAAAGATCTAGACCTATTGTTATCTGCTACTTCAAAATCCGGGATGGTGGAAGACACCCCAGCCACCTTAACTGATACAGTTTCTTTGTATATTTTGTGCATTATACATTTTTGTAAGATCGGAAAAAAAAAAACATAAGCCCTGAAAAAATAACAGAAAAAAGAAAACGAGAGTCGCCATACAGTCGAATTTCATCAAACAAAATGAGTTCAATAGCAGTGTGCAGTAAATTGCAGGGGTCACTGATAAGGACGCAACCAACTAAAATATATATTATCAGATTCAAAGAGAGTTTAAAATTGTATTTAGTTAGAGCATTTCATATAATGCTATAATAGCCTTATAATAGATAAAGTATTTACACATGTTACATGACTTTTCATTACAACATGGATATCATGTCCTGCGTCACATCTTAATTGTTATCTATCTCCGAACACGGAAGCTGCGGACGGATGAACCGCTTGTCAAAAAAAAAATAAAGCAACAAGTAAACATGCGTAGATGAAAAATGAAACGTTTTCCCTATTATATTATATAAACTGCTGAAAAATGTATTGTCAATTATAGTCCTGAAACTTAGACTTGCACCTTGTGTATAAGTGGTGTTCATTGACAAGAATTATAGTGGTATGTTTTTAATTATATTATAATTAAATAGAGTCTTTGCATGTATGAAAAATAAATCACTATGAACAACATGGCTCTTAGATTGTCCTGCAATAGTAATTTATCCTAGGATCGTTTTAAAAGAGAAATGTTAGACATTGTTGTTTTGACCAAAGTAAATGGTGAATTCACCGATCCAAGCAAAACGAAAAATCGGTACAAGCGAAAATAAGTAGGTAGAAGATACTATTCTGGTCAATCAGGTTTGAAGTATTTTATACGTTCACAAATTTACAGATAAACATGTTGAATGTATATGCTAAAACAATAGCATTGTTTGCTTTAAATTTGTTATAAAGTAAAACAGGTATGAGATCACTTTAAATCCAGTTGGTTGAAGAATTACACTTTAGTCGTCCTCGATTGACAAAAAATGCTTCGAATTGCTACTGAGCAAAATTCTTTACCCAGTGCTCTATGTATATTTAGTCTGATATAGCTGACGGTCTTCTTATTGCTTTCACTTCAACTGTAGGATTTCAGAGTGCATTGAGAAGATAATATGGTAAAGCCGCAACAGACTAGCGATTGCAGTCTTTTGTCTCGAAAGCATAATAGATCCGTTTTGATAGAGACGACATTATATATACATAATTTTAATTGGCTTATTTTTACATTTTATGCATCGACTTCTCAACTAAAGCACAACTAAAAGCTGTATTTCCCTAACAGTTCTGTCGCATCTGCTAAGAAATTTCAATGTCGATCTCGCGTTATGTCCTCACAGAACTTTAAATCATTCGATTTAATAAATGTAAGCACGTGTTACAGTTGCATACCACATAATGCATGGCATGGATGAACAGTCAAACTTATGTGGGTCTACGGTGTCGCATCCATTAATTTACAGCTGTATGCTAAAGATGTGAAATAATAAAGTCACGTGACAACTTTTTACAAGTGAAACTTCGTAGCTAGAAAGTTGAGGTTTAAAGAGAACAAGGTTTTTGTTTGTAACGAAAGGGAATTTGATAAAAAAAAGAGTGAATATTGAGAAAAATTATTAAAGGAACGAATGACATATAGTTTATGTGCTCCAAAATGGGTCTCTGACGATTATGATCAGACACTTGCCGCCAACGCGCGGTTCGGCAGCATTCGTGCTTTCTGTAGACTGCAGTCTGTCGTCCTAACTGTAAGGTAAAAGTCTAATATGTTATGAAATGGAAGGGCAATTTAAGAAGACTCAAACGTATGCGAAAATCTAACTTTCAATTGAACTGAAGACGAGGAATTTGTAGTTGAAATGAAAACAGTGACGATTTTTTTTCTGTTTCAGACAATGAGTAGTGAGATGACCAGTCTCATTGTAACCTTGTTTGTTGTATGCATGGTGAACGAAACTGTCAGCACAAACGAAGGTAATGACATTCATCGATCAAAAGTATGAACGTAATGAAAAATTATATGTAACGGATTGTTTTATATGTTTATACTTTCCTTCCTGCTTGAAATTAATAATTATTACTTGTTTAAAATAATAGGCCAATGAAGTAAGTATTTAGTTACTCTTTTTGCATTGTCACTTTTTTGCGTATAAACAACACAATAAATAACGCATTTTTTGTATTTAATACAGCAATTAAAAGAGCACAAAAAAATCCTTAAAAATAATTAATTTCCTTTTACAAATAATCTTAAAATGTTAAAAGTATGACTCAACCGTATCGATTGTTTACAGTTTGGTTTCCTGTATTCGTTGCCTTTGAAGGAAATGGTAAGTCTGTTTATGACGCATGGCAAAGTCAGTCAGAATGCAACCCTCTTCCGACGTCTTTTGGAACAGCCGGTTCTCAGCGTCATCTCAGAAACAGTGTTGTGGATAACTGGAATACTGCAAATATACGAATGGTATGTCGCAAGTTATGATTGTCATGTCAGAAATTAAAAAGAAAAAAAAATGTTCCGAACTTAATTTATTAACTTGATTAAGACATCATTTCATAATATTCATAATATCAATATATCAATATTCATACGTTCATTTTATGAAGGGATGTTAACGAGTACTCAAATATTCGAGTATCGCTCGGTAGTAACGAGTATCGAATACCAAATCGATACTCGATTAATCGGTTTCCTGTTAAAATATTGATGTCTTCTTTATATAAGATTGATCTTCTAGAGAACTTCTTTCGGAAAATTAAATTGGCATCACTGAATAATTATACTAGTACATGTAGTAGATAAACTACATTTTGTTTCAAATATTTGTGCTAAATTGTCATTTGCCTCCGATAATACGTGGGCTATACCTAGGCAAACACTTTATACAAAACGCGTCTTAGTCATTCCGTCACATCGGTACCGTCAGAGCAAATATTTTCGTCTGCAAGATTGTTGGTTGTAAAGTTGTAAAACGGACTGTTCCAAATAACAGTTGACAAGAAAACGTTTCCACATAAAATAAATTCGTTGTATCCTGTGTTGAACCTCAGTGAACAGTTAAACTTCTAATCCTTACGCCTTTGTAAACGTGTTTTCTGAACGATTACCAAATACCAATGTTTGATATGGTTTAATTTAATTTTTAGATTGGTGTTCATTAAATTATATTGATTAGATTAATGTTTTTAGCTTAACTAGAACTTGGAGGTAATGAGTATTAATTATGATGAATTAATTATTCCTTGTCACAGATACCTATGTAGATGGTTATTCGTCCGTTGAAAAACAAACCACAGAATGTAAAATACGTCTTTAAAATGTTTGTGTTTCCGTGTTGTAGATATATTTGCGATCGAGAACTCAAGTATAAAATCAACGAGTACTCGATTAGTAATTGTTCGCGTGAGTTGACATCCCTAATTTTAAGTGAACAACAAAGCAAGAGAAGTCAACACATTTTGTCTATATGTATTTTTTCAGAGAAACGCCATTATAGGCTTTAGAGCTTTACAGTACTGATTTTGACCCAAAAGGTGAAGTCTTTCTATCTCGCTCAAAGATAGATTATCAATTTACTGTGAATGTTTCACATACTTAGAGATATGTTTTTTTTTGACAATTCACAGGTGAAAGTTGAATTTTTCAAAAATAACCAAATTGTCGCATGGATAACTTTTAATGGAAGGAATACTGATACATGTGATATGATGAACTGGTTTAGCAAATCAAACCTTGTGCAGAGCAGTTTTAATGATTTAGGATCATGCAGTAGATTTAACAAGTTTTCGATTGCTGGGTAAATTTTCATTTGATCTATAATTAATTTATTTTCTTTAATGAAGGCACACCACTAATTCTTTGCTCTATTACTTTCTTTGTTGGATACGTCATCTTCAAGCATTCATAGTTCTTTTGTTTGAAGTTGAAATTAAGTGACAGCTGCCATTTCATGTCAAAGCACTGTTGAAAAGTGCTCCTTATATTATATTGAACTGAAAAAAGTTACCATGTTTTTAATTCATATGATAGTTATCAAAGCTACCAGGATTATAATTTCATACGCCAGACGCGCGTTTCGTCTACATAAGACTCATCAGTGACGCTCAGATCATAATAGTTATAAAGCCAAACAAGTACAAAGTTGAAGAGCATTGATGACCCAAAATTCCAAAAAAATGTGCCAAATACGGCTAAGGTATTCTATTCCTGGGATAAGAAAATCCTTAGTTTTCCGAAAAATTCAACGTTTTGTAACAGGAAATTTATAAAAATGACGATATAATTGATATTCATGTCAACACCGAAGTGCTGACTACTAGGCTGGTGATACCCTCGGGGACGAAACGTCCACTAGCAGCGGAATCGCCCCAGTGGTGTAAATAGTTATCAAAGGTACCAGGATTATGATTTAATACGCCAGACGCGCGTTTCGTCTACATAAGACTCATCAGTGACGCTCAGATCAAAATAGTTATAAAGCCAAACAAGTACAAAGTTGAAGTTTAACGTTCTCCCTTTCACCTATATCGTCTTGTCAATTTGCTCCCTAATTCCTGTATCACGCCGTCGCAATGTGTGAGGAGACATAATCGAGCTTACTTTTATTCAGCGTTAAAACGTCTAAAGAAGGGAGAAAAGAACTGAATAGAACGATAAACAGGGTTTTCTACATATAAATATCGTAAAATATCCATCGTTCGACACAATGTGAAGATTGTTTAATCGTTTTATGCGCTCAATGGTCAAATAGTTTCATTGTGAATTTTGCAGCGGATAATTCAATGGGTAGAACAGAAAATAATCTATAAATACTGGTTCCCAGAACTTAGAGATTACACACAACATTTACGTCAAATACGAGAAACAGTTTAAATGTACCTTCCTTCTTTAATTTCATGCATTTGTGTATCATAAGTGAATAGTCAAAATGTGATCTACAAAGATCACCAGTCATTTAGTTTTCATGTAATACACACATTATCAAAATATTGTGCATATTTTGAAAATGACGCCTTTGCATATGATCTATTTTGTTTTAATAATTTTGTACTATTTGTATGTTCTTTAAGACCTGGCAAAAATTTGTGGTGTTACAGAATCTATGATCAACGATACGATTTCAATTTTTAAATGATAAATTTTCACCACCTTAGCAGAAATATACCAACTTTACCCGCGTATGATGTATACACTTCTCAACTCATACGATATTCCAGAGCTTGCAGCTGCTACTCAGACTTTGTCAATCGTAATCAGTGTCTGAGCAAAACATCAATGAGCCAGGGTTTTGTCAAAGAACGTCTCGTCCTTTTTATCAAAAAGTTCATCTTTGAGTACCAAGACCTAATATATAAATAGTCAGTGTTTACCTCATATTAAATTCAAGATGGTCTTGGGTTAAAGGTTCTAGGCGCTGAAGATGTGTATCGTTTTATCTTAATTCAAATTTAGTTTCCACTTTGTTTTGTCTTCGTGCTATTATGCTTCTTTTGGTCGTATGACTTTAGACGTGACACGGTATTTATGCATCCCGTCTTCGGTTTTTTTTTACTTTAGGCATTCCTGGTGCAGATGGATGGTGAGGTGCGATTCGGACACAAACGGTTTTTACAGTGTTGTTTCTAATTTGTTTACCTTTGTATTTATATTTACTTAATTCTTACTTTATCGAGAAAGTGTAAACTATATACAGTAGGCACTTTCAACGACAAAAAACTTTATTTTTGTTGACATCATTGTCAATTTTTTTTCTTTTTTGTCGGCGTCTTTGTTAGAATAATTTGCATGTTTAATTGAATTTTTTAGTCAATTGTGTTGTATGTCTGTGATTTACGTTAACACAGTTTTGGCTGCTGGAGTCAGTTTCACAAAAAAACTTATGACTAAGATTGATTGTAAGTCATGAACAATTCAGTATACTTACGATCAATCTTAGTCGTAAGTTCTTTTGTGAAACTGACTCCAGGATCCAAATTATAGTCACCGTAACCTATTATGTCTGTTTGGGTTGCTCACAATATTAAAAACAGCTGTCATACAAGTGGGAGGTTTAACTAGCTATACAACCAGATTTAACCCACCATTTTCTTCCGAAAATGCCTGTAAACCAAGTCAGGAATATTACAGTTGTTTTTTAATCATTCCGTTGGTTGATAACGTTTGATTTTGTCCGTTTTATCGCTTTCTCTCTTTGAATTATTTTGGAGTTCGATATTTTTGTCATGCGTTTTTGTTTTGTAATTGACGTGTTAAAAAAATGGATATCAATAGGTCATAGAACGAATTCCAATGCCGTGTGAACAAACATTATTGTATACTTTTTTTAATAATCCTTCACATTGTTAGTTTCGAAAGCCAAACTGTGTGTATACGACGTTTTCTGTTTTTTAATTTAATAACGGAGGAAGGAATTGTTTGTCTAAATCACATTTGAAAGTTAAATAAAATAAACTACATAAACATACAAGAGGGTGGTAAAGGGTTATTTTCGTGCAACGAGCTTTTCAATTTTTATTTCACGTGCAGCCGTGAAAAAGGTTCGGTATTCACCGTGTTTCGTGAAATCGGTAAAAAAAATCAACGTGCAAGACATTTTTAATTGTTCGTTCATCGTGAAATGGCAATTTTATTCCGCGTTCTTCCGTGCAGATACCCCCCCCCCCCCCCTTTTACGCCCCTCATACAAAGATATAAATAACATGCATTAAGAAAGGTCAAATGATACACATATTTTTAAAGGACGGTATCACGATGCTTAATACGTTGACTGCTTTTATGCTGTATTTCGTTTAATTGTGGTCTTATGTTAATCTATTAAATCCATTTAAAATTTCCAACAAAAACATATTTTTAGTGATAATCAACGAAAATTCTATGTAAATCAGAACTACGGAGGATGCGCTAATGATCAAGGGTGGATGTACGTCCTCGATAAAAGTATAGGCTGTCCATATGAACGCATTGGCTCGATTCCGATGTTTCTTTATACAAAGAACTTCACAGATAGAAACTTGTCACGTAGTAAGTACTAATGTAGTTATTGAGGATCTTCAAATTAAACACTGTTCGGAAACGTTGTGCACTTAGTATATGTTAATATGTATGATTAAGGATATACAAACTAGGTATGTTTATGCCGAATGGAAACAATTTGAAGGCAAAATCAAACGCATAGCTGAAGACCATTTTAAACAAACAAAATACCGAAAAGTTATGCGAAATACGGAGAAAGGCAATTTATTTGTGGGGGTTGAAAACCTAAGTATATTGTTGTATTTTGATCACTGTGATTCAATAATTTTCTTTGGATTCCAATTTTCGTGGATTTTGTGGGTACAGAGGAACCACGAATCAAAATGTTCAACGAATTACAAATTTTCCGAAAGAATGTATGCAGACTTTGCAAAAACAAAGAAATTAAATATCCACGAAAATACAAGTTATACTAAATCCATGCAAATCTGTATTCATGAAAATAAAAGAATACACAGTAGTTTAAAATTTATAAACAGAAAATGAACATTTCAATGATAAGTTGTCTACTCCAAATTTCTGACTACTATGTTGGTTATATCATATCGAACGAAACTTCAATCAGCAGTAGCATCATCCCAGGGGTTGTAAGAACTCATCAAAGATATCAGGCTTACAATTTGTTATTTTGTAGGCACCGACAGCCAATGTCTTTTTGTTTTTTTTTTTAAGGAAGTTCGCCTGTCATGTTTTGGAATTTTTGTCAGATTTTCGGAATCCTCTGGTTTTATCTTGCATGCTTTAAAAAATTTTGCCCATTGACCCCCATTTTCTTTTTAAAAATCCTTTACATATATAATTATAAGCCATCTGTAAAAGTCTTATAAAATCTTAATTATTGTTTAATAGTTTTTGAGAACTTTAACTTGTCAATGATAAAGCTATGAAAAATCAAGAGAGGATATTTTCCCGCCAAAATTTCTATGGCTAATCTCTAGAAAACAGGCACATTGACCTTCATTTTATTTTTGCTCTTTTTGTTCCTTTATTAATCCCCTATCAATAAATACTAGTGTTATGAAAAGCTTGTTAGTTTGAAGTTTAACGTTCTCCCTTTCACCTTTATCGTCTTGTCAATTTGCTCCCTAATTCCTGTATCACGGCGTCGCAATGTGTGAGGAGACATAATCGAGCTTTCTTTTATTCAGCGTTAAAACGTCTAAAGAAGGGAGAAAAGAACTGAATAGAACGATAAACAGGGTTTTCTACATATAAATATCGTAAGATATCCATCGTTCGACACAATGTGAAGATTGTTTGCTCGTTTTATGCGCTCAATGGTCAAATAGTTTCATTGTGAATTTTGCAGCGGATAATTCAATGGGTAGAACAGAAAATAATCTATAAATACTGGTTCCCAGAACTTAGAGATTACACACAACATTTACGTCAAATATGAGAAACAGTTTAAATGTACCTTCCTTCTTTAATTTTATGCATTTGTGTATCATAAGTGAATAGTCAAAATGTGATTTACAAAGATCACCAGTCAATTAGTTTTCATGTAATACACACATTATCAAAATAGTGTGCATATTTTGAAAATGACGCCTTTGCATAGGATCTATTTTGTTTTAATAATTTTGTACTATTTGTATGTTCTTTAAGACCTGGCAAAAATTTGTGGTGTTACAGAATCTATGATCAACGATACGATTTCAATTTTTAAATGATAAATTTTCACCACCTTAGCAGAAATATACCAACTTTACCCGCGTATGATGTATACACTTCTCAACTCATACGATATTCCAGAGCTTGCAGCTGCTACTCAGACTTTGTCAATCGTAATCAGTGTCTGAGCAAAACATCAATGAGCCAGGGTTTTGTCAAAGAACGTCTCGTCCTTTTTATCAAAAAGTTCATCTTTGAGTACCAAGACCTAATATATAAATAGTCAGTGTTTACCTCATATCAAATTCAAGATGGTCTTGGGTTAAAGGTTCTAGGCGCTGAAGATGTGTATCGTTTTATCTTAATTCAAATTTAGTTTCCACTTTGTTTTGTCTTCGTGCTATTATGCTTCTTTTGGTCGTATGACTTTAGACGTGACACGGTATTTATGCATCCCGTTATCGGTTTTTTTTACTTTGGGCATTCCTGGTGCAGATGGATGGTGAGGTGCGATTCGGACACAAACGGTTTTTTCAGTGTTGTTTCTAATTTGTTTACCTTTGTATTTATATTTACTTAATTCTTACTTTATCGAGAAAGTGTAAACTATATACAGTAGGCACTTTCAACGACAAAAAACTTTATTTTTGTTGACATCATTGTCAATTTTTTTTCTTTTTTGTCGGCGTCTTTGTTAGAATAATTTGCATGTTTAATTGAATTTTTTAGTCAATTGTGTTGTATGTCTGTGATTTACGTTAACACAGTTTTGGCTGCTGGAGTCAGTTTCACAAAAAAACTTATGACTAAGATTGATTGTAAGTCATGAACAATTCAGTACACTTACGATCAATCTTAGTCGTAAGTTCTTTTGTGAAACTGACTCCAGGATCCAAATTATAGTCACCGTAACCTATTATGTCTGTTTGGGTTGCTCACAATATTAAAAACAGCTGTCATACAAGTGGGAGGTTTAACTAGCTATACAACCAGATTTAACCCACCATTTTCTTCCGAAAATGCCTGTAAACCAAGTCAGGAATATTACAGTTGTTTTTTAATCATTCCGTTGGTTGATAACGTTTGATTTTGTCCGTTTTATCGCTTTCTCTCTTTGAATTATTTTGGAGTTCGATATTTTTGTCATGCGTTTTTGTTTTGTAATTGACGTGTTAAAAAAATGGATATCAATAGGTCATAGAACGAATTCCAATACCGTGTGAACCAACATTATTGTATACTTTTTTTAATAATCCTTCACATTGTTAGTTTCGAAAGCCAAACTGTGTGTATACGACGTTTTCTGTTTTTTAATTTAATAACGGAGGAAGGAATTGTTTGTCTAAATCATATTTGAAAGTTAAATAAAATAAACTACATAAACATACAAGAGGGTGGTAAAGGGTTATTTTCGTGCAACGAGCTTTTCAATTTTTATTTCACGTGCAGCCGTGAAAAAGGTTCGGTATTCACCGTGTTTCGTGAAATCGGAAAAAAAAATCAACGTGCAAGACATTTTTAATTGTTCGTTCATCGTGAAATGGCAATTTTATTCCGCGTTCTTCCGTGCAGATACCCCCCCCCCCCCCCCCCTTTACGCCCCTCATACAAAGATATAAATAACATGCATTAAGAAAGGTCAAATGATACACATATTTTTAAAGGACGGTATCACGATGCTTAATACGTTGACTGCTTTTATGCTGTATTTCGTTTAATTGTGGTCTTATGTTAATCTATTAAATCCATTTAAAATTTCCAACAAAAACATATTTTTAGTGATAATCAACGAAAATTCTATGTAAATCAGAACTACGGAGGATGCGCTAATGATCAAGGGTGGATGTACGTCCTCGATAAAAGTATAGGCTGTCCATATGAACGCATTGGCTCGATTCCGATGTTTCTTTATACAAAGAACTTCACAGATAGAAACTTGTCACGTAGTAAGTACTAATGTAGTTATTGAGGATCTTCAAATTAAACACTGTTCGGAAACGTTGTGCACTTAGTATATGTTAATATGTATGATTAAGGATATACAAACTTGGTATGTTTATGCCGAATGGAAACAATTTGAAGGCAAAATCAAACGCATAGCTGAAGACCATTTTAAACAAACAAAATACCGAAAAGTTATGCGAAATACGGAGAAAGGCAATTTATTTTTGGGGGTTGAAAACCTAAGTATATTGTTGTATTTTGATCACTGTGATTCAATAATTTTCTTTGGATTCCAATTTTCGTGGATTTTGTGGGTACAGAGGAACCACGAATTTAAATGTTCAACGAATTACAAATTTTCCGAAAGAATGTATGCAGACTTTGCAAAAACAAAGAAATTAAATATCCACGAAAATACAAGTTATACTAAATCCATGCAAATCTGTATTCATGAAAATAAAAGAATACACAGTAGTTTAAAATTTATAAACAGAAAATGAACATTTCAATGATAAGTTGTCTACTCCAAATTTCTGACTACTATGTTGGTTATATCATATCGAACGAAACTTCAATCAGCAGTAGCATCATCCCAGGGGTTGTAAGAACTCATCAAAGATATCAGGCTTACAATTTGTTATTTTGTAGGCACCGACAGCCAATGTCTTTTTTTTTTTTTTTAAGGAAGTTCGCCTGTCATGTTTTGGAATTTTTGTCAGATTTTCGGAATCCTCTGGTTTTATCTTGCATGCTTTAAACAAATTTTGCCCATTGACCCCCATTTTCTTTTTAAAAATCCTTTACATATATAATTATAAGCCATCTGTAAAAGTCTTATAAAATCTTAATTATTGTTTAATAGTTTTTGAGAACTTTAACTTGTCAATGATAAAGCTATGAAAAATCAAGAGAGGATATTTTCCCGCCAAAATTTCTATGGCTAATCTCTAGAAAACAGGCACATTGACCTTCATTTTATTTTTGCTCTTTTTGTTCCTTTATTAATCCCCTATCAATAAATACTAGTGTTATGAAAAGCTTGTTAGTTTGAAGTTTAACGTTCTCCCTTTCACCTTTATCGTCTTGTCAATTTGCTCCCTAATTCCTGTATCACGGCGTCGCAATGTGTGAGGAGACATAATCGAGCTTTCTTTTATTCAGCGTTAAAACGTCTAAAGAAGGGAGAAAAGAACTGAATAGAACGATAAACAGGGTTTTCTACATATAAATATCGTAAGATATCCATCGTTCGACACAATGTGAAGATTGTTTGCTCGTTTTATGCGCTCAATGGTCAAATAGTTTCATTGTGAATTTTGCAGCGGATAATTCAATGGGTAGAACAGAAAATAATCTATAAATACTGGTTCCCAGAACTTAGAGATTACACACAACATTTACGTCAAATATGAGAAACAGTTTAAATGTACCTTCCTTCTTTAATTTTATGCATTTGTGTATCATAAGTGAATAGTCAAAATGTGATTTACAAAGATCACCAGTCAATTAGTTTTCATGTAATACACACATTATCAAAATAGTGTGCATATTTTGAAAATGACGCCTTTGCATAGGATCTATTTTGTTTTAATAATTTTGTACTATTTGTATGTTCTTTAAGACCTGGCAAAAATTTGTGGTGTTACAGAATCTATGATCAACGATACGATTTCAATTTTTAAATGATAAATTTTCACCACCTTAGCAGAAATATACCAACTTTACCCGCGTATGATGTATACACTTCTCAACTCATACGATATTCCAGAGCTTGCAGCTGCTACTCAGACTTTGTCAATCGTAATCAGTGTCTGAGCAAAACATCAATGAGCCAGGGTTTTGTCAAAGAACGTCTCGTCCTTTTTATCAAAAAGTTCATCTTTGAGTACCAAGACCTAATATATAAATAGTCAGTGTTTACCTCATATTAAATTCAAGATGGTCTTGGGTTAAAGGTTCTAGGCGCTGAAGATGTGTATCGTTTTATCTTAATTCAAATTTAGTTTCCACTTTGTTTTGTCTTCGTGCTATTATGCTTCTTTTGGTCGTATGACTTTAGACGTGACACGGTATTTATGCATCCCGTTATCGGTTTTTTTTACTTTGGGCATTCCTGGTGCAGATGGATGGTGAGGTGCGATTCGGACACAAACGGTTTTTTCAGTGTTGTTTCTAATTTGTTTACCTTTGTATTTATATTTACTTAATTCTTACTTTATCGAGAAAGTGTAAACTATATACAGTAGGCACTTTCAACGACAAAAAACTTTATTTTTGTTGACATCATTGTCAATTTTTTTTCTTTTTTGTCGGCGTCTTTGTTAGAATAATTTGCATGTTTAATTGAATTTTTTAGTCAATTGTGTTGTATGTCTGTGATTTACGTTAACACAGTTTTGGCTGCTGGAGTCAGTTTCACAAAAAAACTTATGACTAAGATTGATTGTAAGTCATGAACAATTCAGTATACTTACGATCAATCTTAGTCGTAAGTTCTTTTGTGAAACTGACTCCAGGATCCAAATTATAGTCACCGTAACCTATTATGTCTGTTTGGGTTGCTCACAATATTAAAAACAGCTGTCATACAAGTGGGAGGTTTAACTAGCTATACAACCAGATTTAACCCACCATTTTCTTCCGAAAATGCCTGTAAACCAAGTCAGGAATATTACAGTTGTTTTTTAATCATTCCGTTGGTTGATAACGTTTGATTTTGTCCGTTTTATCGCTTTCTCTCTTTGAATTATTTTGGAGTTCGATATTTTTGTCATGCGTTTTTGTTTTGTAATTGACGTGTTAAAAAAATGGATATCAATAGGTCATAGAACGAATTCCAATACCGTGTGAACCAACATTATTGTATACTTTTTTTAATAATCCTTCACATTGTTAGTTTCGAAAGCCAAACTGTGTGTATACGACGTTTTCTGTTTTTTAATTTAATAACGGAGGAAGGAATTGTTTGTCTAAATCATATTTGAAAGTTAAATAAAATAAACTACATAAACATACAAGAGGGTGGTAAAGGGTTATTTTCGTGCAACGAGCTTTTCAATTTTTATTTCACGTGCAGCCGTGAAAAAGGTTCGGTATTCACCGTGTTTCGTGAAATCGGAAAAAAAAATCAACGTGCAAGACATTTTTAATTGTTCGTTCATCGTGAAATGGCAATTTTATTCCGCGTTCTTCCGTGCAGATACCCCCCCCCCCCCTTTACGCCCCTCATACAAAGATATAAATAACATGCATTAAGAAAGGTCAAATGATACACATATTTTTAAAGGACGGTATCACGATGCTTAATACGTTGACTGCTTTTATGCTGTATTTCGTTTAATTGTGGTCTTATGTTAATCTATTAAATCCATTTAAAATTTCCAACAAAAACATATTTTTAGTGATAATCAACGAAAATTCTATGTAAATCAGAACTACGGAGGATGCGCTAATGATCAAGGGTGGATGTACGTCCTCGATAAAAGTATAGGCTGTCCATATGAACGCATTGGCTCGATTCCGATGTTTCTTTATACAAAGAACTTCACAGATAGAAACTTGTCACGTAGTAAGTACTAATGTAGTTATTGAGGATCTTCAAATTAAACACTGTTCGGAAACGTTGTGCACTTAGTATATGTTAATATGTATGATTAAGGATATACAAACTTGGTATGTTTATGCCGAATGGAAACAATTTGAAGGCAAAATCAAACGCATAGCTGAAGACCATTTTAAACAAACAAAATACCGAAAAGTTATGCGAAATACGGAGAAAGGCAATTTATTTTTGGGGGTTGAAAACCTAAGTATATTGTTGTATTTTGATCACTATGATTCAATAATTTTCTTTGGATTCCAATTTTCGTGGATTTTGTGGGTACAGAGGAACCACGAATTTAAATGTTCAACGAATTACAAATTTTCCGAAAGAATGTATGCAGACTTTGCAAAAACAAAGAAATTAAATATCCACGAAAATACAAGTTATACTAAATCCATGCAAATCTGTATTCATGAAAATAAAAGAATACACAGTAGTTTAAAATTTATAAACAGAAAATGAACATTTCAATGATAAGTTGTCTACTCCAAATTTCTGACTACTATGTTGGTTATATCATATCGAACGAAACTTCAATCAGCAGTAGCATCATCCCAGGGGTTGTAAGAACTCATCAAAGATATCAGGCTTACAATTTGTTATTTTGTAGGCACCGACAGCCAATGTCTTTTTTTTTTTTTTTAAGGAAGTTCGCCTGTCATGTTTTGGAATTTTTGTCAGATTTTCGGAATCCTCTGGTTTTATCTTGCATGCTTTAAACAAATTTTGCCCATTGACCCCCATTTTCTTTTTAAAAATCCTTTACATATATAATTATAAGCCATCTGTAAAAGTCTTATAAAATCTTAATTATTGTTTAATAGTTTTTGAGAACTTTAACTTGTCAATGATAAAGCTATGAAAAATCAAGAGAGGATATTTTCCCGCCAAAATTTCTATGGCTAATCTCTAGAAAACAGGCACATTGACCTTCATTTTATTTTTGCTCTTTTTGTTTTTTTATTAATCCCCTATCAATAAATACTAGTGTTATGAAAAGCTTGTTATTTTGAAACTGAGTAGCGAACTTCCTTAATAAATCTAAAATGGTAATATTATGGGATACTTGGTTATTAAAAATATGAACGAAATAATTCAGGAGAAAAATAAACGAGAACCATGTTGCTGGTGAGCTTCATGTTGCAATTCGTTTAATTTAATTTTATGTTTTTTTTTGTAGCCATGGCACAGCCAGCGGATATGATGGTTATTTCAGTCCTTGCAGACTTATAAAGAGCTTATTAATAAGATAAACGTTGTGTTTAAATGCGTAAGACAACTGACCTAACATCAAAAATGTTTGGAACATGATATGTTTTAATTAAGATAGTTACAATTCAATTGGTTCTTATTGTGTACTTATTTTCATTGACTGGTTAAAGTACCAGATCTGGCTCCAGTTTAGACAAATTTGATTTTACCTGAATTATGATGCTTCAACTGACTTGTGTTAACAATTTTCCAAATACAAACTTGCTAATCGATTATATTGTCAAGGCTCATAGTATTTAAATGAAACCTATGTGTTCAAGCCAATGTAACTTTATTTTGTCAGGTTCCAAATAATACAAAAAGCATGAAATACGAGTGGACAATACAAAACCTTAGCTAAAGAAGAACATAACTTACAACTGGCAAAAGAAACAAAAACCAAGGAAAATAACCGATAGCCCGCAAAACGATGAACAGAAAATATCAAAAATACCTTTACAGGTTTCATAATGGATGAACATGGGATATCAACTCGAGTTATTAAATTTCAATCAAATAATACATGAGCCTTTGGGAAGTTTATTGTTATTATTGAAAGTTAATAAAAAGATGTTATTTATTTGTTGTCATGGAGGAGAATCATATAAAACTAGGATATGTTGTATGATTGCTAATCAGACAAATATCCAGCGTAGTCTAAATGACGCGAATTTAAGCATCAATAGGTCACCTTCAACAATGAGATTAACCTATACCGTATTGTCAGATGTAGAACATAAGCTAATATGGAAGAATTCAAACGAAAACACCAACAAAACGTGTGTGCAGCGCTCAGCCCTCCTTCTTATCTGAGACGGTGGTGTAAAAACAAAAGATAAGAACAGCCTATAAACAACAGTTGCATTTGAACGGATAAAAAAATTAACATTAGTAAGGCAAAAAAACACACGTAACTGATCCAAGAGTACAAACAGTTACTGAGAGCCAATTATAACTAATAAATAAATCATGTCCTTCCATATTAAATTATCAACCAGCACACATCAAACGAATTAAAGAAAAGCATAATCCTGGCCTTAATATTTGAAAGTCATCATTGACCTAACGAATAGCCAATGTAAATTTTGGCAATTTCGTATCATAATGCAGAATAGAGCAATTAAATTAACAAATTCACGTATAACTTATTGATAATACACTCCGTTTAATGTAAAACGAGGAATATCTCACCTTGTGTGAATTAAATAACAGCCAGAAAAAAAAAATATGATCTAGGGATGATCTCGTGTCTTCCGGAAATGCACGTAATTCCTGGTCATGGCAGTATAAACCTTGTGATAGTTGTTTAAATTCATAATAGAGTATAGGGGGATGAAGGGGATTGTGGCAACAAAAATTAGAGGATGCATTTTTAGTGTTTTTAACATCTACAATTTTTCACCAAATATTTCCAAACAAATTGACCTTACACAACAATTTTCCTGTACAGATTTTGAGAATTTTACAAAATGAAATTCAGTTAATTCGGCAATATCCCAATCCATCCAAATCTTCATATAGTGTTCACACCCACTGCCTTCGAAACTTCGAGAATGTTTGTATTGACATTTATTAATAGACCACTTTAGAGTTCATCCTTCACCGGAAAAAAATCGTCAATTATGCGCGCCTTTATGACGTCATTTACCAGATAGAGGGAATCGCCTGTATCCCTGCAATATTAACGTTCCTCAAGCGTCTTTGTGATCATCATTTTGCAGGATAAAATAGAAAAAAAAACGTTTTTTTTGTAAGTACTTAATCACAATTACCTAAAGACAGCAGTGCTTATTGTCAATTATGAGAATTAAATTTGCCAAAACAATTCGTGCAATATAGCATTATAGTTTTTCAACCACTCGCTCAACATTGGAACGGAAGTGTCGATGCCCCTAAACGCACGAATGATGTTCACTTAAAACCAGAGTTTATGACGGAAATGCATCGAACTCGAAAGTTGTCTATTACATCTAACTTTACTGCTAATTCCAGAGGACATTGTCAGCGCAGTACATTAGCGATTTCAAGCCATTCTTTCATGATCCCTTTTTATAAGATTAAGTATTAAATCATTTAGACACCATTGGTTTTAAATGTTTAGGTCTATATTTATTACGTATATATCAGGTATGCTTTAGATGGAAATTATAGAATCATTCTCGGTTGCTGTACCAGTTATAAACGAATTTTTCTCTTCTATGTTTATGGAGACTGTCCTATTCCTAAGGTTTTTAAATTTCATCTGATTTTACTGTTAAGGATGTTCGCTACTCTGTTTCAAAATAATAAGCTTTTTAAAAGACTGTTATAAATTGATAGTATATAAATAAAGGAACTAAAAAAGCAGATAAAAAATGAAGGGTCCGTGTGCTTGTTTTCGAGATATAAGCCATTGAAAATTTGCCGGGAAATGATTCTCTCTAGATTTTTCATACATTTAACATTGGCACCTTTTTTTCTGTCTAAAAGTATGAAAAATAACAAGGATTTAATAAGATTTTCAAAGAAGGTATTTTAAACTATATTTAATCAAATTATGAAAAGAAAAGTAGGGGTTAGTGTGCAAACATTTGTAATGACACTACATGGATAAAACCAGAGGATTCCGAATATCTGACAAAAATTCAAAAACAAGAGGAGCGAACATCCTTAATTCATGGTGACTGTTATTTGCCTTTAGTTTATTACATTTCACATCTGCACACATCAATGTTCCGTTTTGGCATTCAAAGGCCGGCTGTTTAATGATTTTTAACGAACATTGATCCATTTATACGAGTTGAAACGTAAATATTGTTGCGTGTAAGTACATTTTGTATGTTCGCAACTTTGTTACACACGTATTTCGTGTGAGGTTAAAAGCGATAATTTTCAATTTCCCCATCTATTATATACTTATATTGGACAAATGGCAGCATTTCTACGTTTAAGGTATCATGAACTGGTTTGAAACGTATGATTCAATCGGACGGAACTATTAATCAACCCTAAAACATAGTTCTCACACGGCTTTAATCATTCTAAAGTTCCTATGAAAAATAGAAGATGTAATTGGATGTGCTAATTCGACAACTATCTATTAAAAATGCTGAAAACTACAGATCATGGCACGGTCTTCAAAAATTAGCAGAAAACTCTAATCCCACTGGAAGATAGCCGAAGCAAAACTCATACAGTTTAGTCAGCTATCAATAGTCAAGGGATGACATAATGTAAAAGAATGTAAAGATTTGAATTTCGATTTTGATAGACATTTACTATGCTTTATAACCACAAATGACTTTCAATCAAGTTTTATTAAAAGCAACAGGTTTTAAGTTTGGTTTACGACTGCAACTCTAGTTTTTTTTTTACTAGATATTTTTTTTTAATATCAATTTTGTTTGCTATGAAGTTGTGTAGATTTCTTGAAGTTATTGATTTTATTGAATAACTTGATGATGTATTTTCCAGTATGATTAAAATTGTTCGACAAAATACAATAAACTCATCAAAGATACCAGGATTTAAATTTTGTACGCCAGACGCGCGTTTTGTCTACAAGAGACTCATCATTGACGCTCGAATCAAAAACATTATAAAGGCCAAATGAAATGCGAAGTTGAAGAGCATTGAGGGCCCCAAATTTTGCCAAATACATCTAAGGTAATTTATTCCGTGGGTAGAATTTTTTTTTAGTATTTGGAAACAATCAAAGTTTTCTAAACATGTTAATTTATATTAATGATAATTCTGGTCAACACAGAAGTGCTGACTACTAGGCTGGTGATACCATCAGGAAGAAAAACTCCACCAGCAGTTGCATTTACGACCCAGTGCTTGTAAATTAACTCATCAGAGATACCAGGATTGCAATTTTGTGTACGCCAAACGTGCGTTTCTTCATTAATGACGCTCGAATCAAAAATGTAAAGTAAGAAGTTGAAGAGCATTGAAGACCCAAAATTCCTTACATACAAATATAGCCTATGCTTGATGTCGATATATCCTCGTATCGACCTCATTAAAATGCTACAATTGCTATATTATTATCGCCAATAAGCCAGAAGTGGTGCACCAATTCGTTTTATTGGTTGCTTCGATTGTGTCAGCTATTCTAAAAAGAACCCTGCAATATCACTTTTCTATCTACTGTTTTCAGTCTACTTTTGCAAATATTTTTGAAAGGCGACTCTTTCTGAACAAATCAAATTAGTTAGAATCTACACAATAATAATATGATAGAATACACGATTGATAAAATCATAAAACTTCATGTTTTTAAGAAAATTCCAACCAGATACACACCACAAAAAAAAAGAAGAAAAACACAGATGGATGTGAAATGAACAGTCCTCTGCTTATCCTGAAATCAAAGAAAACATTTTCAGCAGGTTTTGCTAAATCAATAACATAAAAAAACCCGTTCTGTTTGGGGGCAGATTGCCATTGCTCGAACTTGGAGAAAAACTAATGTATTTTTACTTTAGATTATTAGAAAAAAGAGTTTAGTGGAAGCTTAAATAAATAATCGAAACTTTACAGCTACATATCATGTAAGCAATAGAGGTTGAAAATAAACTCATCATAGATACCAGGAATACATTTTGTGTTTACGGCAGACGCGCGTTTCGTCTACAAAAGACTCACCAGTGACGCTCGAATCCAAAAAAGTTAAAAAGGCCAAAAAAAGTACGAAGTTAAAGAGCATTGAGGACCAAAATTTCTAAAAGTTTTGCCAAATACAGCTAAGGTAATATATTCCTGAGGTAGAAAAACCTTATCATTTCAAAAATAAAGAAGTTTTGTAAACAGTCAATTAAATAAATATGACCATATCAATGATAATTCATGTCAGCACAGAAGTGCTGACTACTGGGCTGGTGATACCCTCGGGGAATTAAAACTCCACCAGCAGTGGCTTATGAACTTATTACATGTCCGGGTAATTCAAAACCTTTTGGCTTAGCAGGATATCGAAATCAACTTCTTCACATAACATTTGAATTTTTACAAAATTATTAACGGCTGCTAACTTAACAATGAGCGGTAGGATTTTTCAACTAAAAAAAAAAAAAGATAAATCAGATTGATCAATTAGACCTTTAAGTATATAGATTTCGTGAATCTATTCATTACACGTACAAGATAAAAACATCAACACAAAAAGTCAAACATTCTTAGATGTATATTTGATTAAACGTTTGAAATATTTAAAATGTACACTTACATTCAATAAACTTCAGTTGATCACTAGAAAAGTTGTGGATGGCAACGACGCAATACCTTTATTTGTTTTAACGTGTAATTGACAAAAACACGCAACTGAATGTATTAGAATCTAATAAAAACTTAAGTTAAAGACTATAATGTAGACATCGTACACAATAATTAACTTTACATGATATATGTGCATAACTGCACAAAAATGAGTACCTAACTTCAAAGTTAAGAATAATCAAAGACAAATATGAAATGCTTCACTTTCAGTTGCAGATGTAGAGGAAGGCAAAATCCTAGTCAGAGTACAGTTTCTACGTATATGGGAATTACCAAAACGGCAAGAACATCAGACCAAGCGAAAAGAAACATAAACTCAAGTAAGAATACTATGACATATCGAGAACGAGACTATCAAACAACTGAACAAAAAAATGACGGATTGACCAATACCTACTTAAAAGGGAATAAAGAGAAGGGAATTGGTAAAAATATTATCTTTGTATAAAAGGATTGCATGTCTTTTTTAAAATTTTTATATAGTTTAAATACTCTATGAACAAGACGGAAATGTTAAGAATGACACTGATAAATTCAGTCAACAATCCAATTATAATACTAAAAACAGCCTTAAGCTTAACATTCGGAAAAACACCGAAACCACATCTACGATTATTTTTTAAAATCTATAACAGGAAAGGATGGATGTTGTCAATTACACGTTAAAACAAATAAAGGTATTGCGTCGTTGCCATCCACAACTTTTCTAGTGATCAACTGAAGTTTATTGAATGTAAGTGAACATTATAACAATTTTAAACGTTTAATCAGATATAAATCTAAGAATGATTGACGATATCAACAAAAACAAAGTATATTTTCAAATTATGTCCGCTTTAAAAACGGTGGCTTATTCATTTTTTGTCTGTCAACTACTGCTAAAAACCTTTTTTTTTGTCATGTAGATTTATAACTTGATGTAACCGATAATGTAAAAAAAAAAGGAAAAATAAAAAGCCAACAACAATATTTTAACTCTTTGTTTAGTAATCATGTAATTTATTTTGTAAATTTGCATATAAATGTCTGTCAAATACTGCTAAAAACCTTTTTTTTGTCATGTAGATTTATAACTTGATGTAACCGATAATGTAAAAAAAAAAAAAGGAAAAATAAAAAGCCAACAACAATATTTTAACTCTTTGTTTAGTAATCATGTAATTTATTTTGTAAATTTGCATATAAATGCATTATGCATCTATTTTAAACATGCTTTTCTTTAATAATATAGTATGGAACTGAAAGCTGAAATGACCATGTTTATCTTATTTCTGGTTATGTTTATTGATAAAGAAAGTGTTAGAACAACACAAGGTACGAACTTTTCAACACTAGTAGTTTAATGCAGCATTTAAATTCGCCCGTAGAAAATTTAACAAATATGTTAATTTAGAATGCATTCCAATGGATAAGTTGATTTGATAATAATATGTATAGTCGACCTCGATAAGTTAAAGTCAAAGGGACCGAACAAAACTATTCAACTCATCAGATGTTCGAGTCATCCGTTGTCGCGAGTTACATCATGTGTATTAAACAGAGTTTTACTGTGCGTATTGCTGTGTGTTTGTTTTTTCTTCATTGGCTAGAGGTATAGGGGGAGGGTTGAGATCTCATTAAACATGTTTAACCCCGCCGCATTTTAGCGCCTATCTCAAGTCAGGAGCCTCTGGCCTTTGTTAGACTTGTATGATTTTCAATTTTAGTTCATTTATATGTTTTGCACTGAACTAGTACACATTTTTGTTTATGGGCCAGGTGGATGTCGCCTTCGGGTGCAGGATTTTCTCGCTGTGTTGAAGACCCATTCGTGGACTTCAGCTGTTTTCTGCTCTTGGTCGGGTTGTTGTCTTTTTGACACATTCTCCATTTCCATTCTCAATTGTATTCATTTCAATAACCTGATTGACAAAATACTTAGACTTCTCCGTCGTTATTAAGTAATTCAATATGTTATATCTAATACTGCATTCAAAACAAAGACAAAAACACTTTTGAGTAATTCAATTAGGCGATGAAGCAATTATGACTGGTATGCTTGAAGCGATGGGTTACCGTTAACCAGTTTTTATAAACATTATACAATTCTGAACAGTATGGCTGATGAGAACAAATTTCTCGATGGAGCAATGAAATAGTTCTGCTTTAGAAGTGGATGTGTCCTCCCCGAAGGTACCACCAGCCTAGTCGTCAGCACTTCTGTGTCGACATGAATTGTCATATATATGGTCATAATTCTGAATTAACTGTATACAAAAGTTTTCGAAATGCTAATGATCTTCTACTCCAGGAATAGATTACCTTAGCTGTGTTTGGTAATACCTTTCTGAATTTCGGGTATTTAATGCTAATCAACTGCGTACCTTATTCCCGACTTTTGAACTTTTTTTATTCGAATGTCACTGATGAATTCTTTGTAGACGAAACGAGCGTCTAATTTTGGTGTTTATGAAATGGATTTTTATTATTATTTATTAAGATCACATCATTGTTGAAATGTCCTTCTTAAACATTTTTATCATGCAATTTTTTTTAACTAATATGAGATGTGAAATAAAAACTTTTACATTTTAGTTTGGTTTCCTGTGTTTATATCATTTTCTGGAAATGGGAAGCCCGTTTTTGTAACCTTGAAAAACCAAACTTTGTGTAACGATCTACCAACATCGTTCGTTACTCAGGGCACTAGCCGCCATCTTAGAAATAAAATCATCGATAATTGAAATACTGCAAATATAAAGACGGTAACTTGTATTTGATAAAAGAAAATACGATAATTTGATAACAGATATAACTGATACACTTTTATTTCAACAATTTCTGAAGAAAGTTGTTCCAGTTCTATATCTATAGAAAATATTGAACAAAAAAGACAACAAATAACTAAAACGAAGTCTTAGGCTTGTACCTTGCATTTAATATTGTTTTTGTTTAAATCCGAAGCACACTTTTATAGAAAACTTTCTCTTATAGTGTTTTAAATAATCATCTATCGTCACAACAGTGGCAAAGTTAGGTAAACAATAATTTGTATACACGATAGAAAAAAATATTTTACTCTGACGTAGGACTAAACATCGGTTTTTACTCATACATTTATTAATTTTGATGTTCACAGGTGAAAATTGATTTTTTCAAGAATAAACACGTTGTTGCATGGATGACCTTGAACGGCAGACATACAGATAAGATGAACTGGTTTAGTAAAGCAAAGCTAGCGGACAGTAGTTTTAATGACTTTGAATCATGCAATACATTTAACTTCTTTTCCATTACTGGGTAAAAGAGGGACGAAAGATACCAGAGGGACAGTTAAACTCATAGATCGAAAACAAACTGATAACGCCATGGCCAAAAATAAAAAGACAAACAGACACCCGTCGTGTTGTGGTAACTTATGCACTAATAGTTTATTTTTTAATGACTAAAACTTATTTTGTATATAGTATAAAAACAGGAGTAAATTGAAAATAAAGTAAATTACACATAATACAATTATGAATAATAAATGACTGTTGAAGATAACAAAACAAGTAGTTGAACCGACGTGTGGTCTCAGATTAGTTTAAAGGAGAACGGAGCAAAAAGATTATAATTAAAGTATTAATGAGAATTAAAGGTATATTGTTAACATGATCAAAAGCGAAAAATGAGCGGGTTACATTACACATGCAATCGACAAACAACTTTTTTGTCAAGACAGTAGTTATATTCTCATTTCGAAGTTTAAAAATGAGGTATATTTCTGAGTGGTACAATTTCTAAATGGACAAAGAAATGTTTGGAAAATTTACACAGGAACGTTGCTTTGGGTTTTATATTTGAAACGATAATTCTTCCTTGCTCTGCATTTATTTCTTAAACTTCAAACTCGAAATACCCATCATTAACTGTATATCATGTTTTTGGAAAGTTTTTTTTATGTAAAAATCATACTATATATTATACCATATCATATATCTTATTGTACATCATATCAACTTTGATTGTCTGAAAATTAATATCATATGAGGCATACATTCATTCCTAATGTGGTACTGCTAATATCTAGTTATTTCTTCAGAAATTCACGGCGCAAGTTTTATGTAAATAAAAGTTATTACGGATGTCCAATAGATGATGGATGGTTCGTTGGTATTGACCGAACCCCTTATTGTACATGGGAAAAGCAAGGAGCAAATCCACTTTTTCTGTACACCAAAACTTCACACCTAGAAACTGGACAAATGGTAAGCTTGAATTCAAATTTCAAACCACATTAGTTTGTTGAGCATATATTCTATAAAAAAAACCCAACCTTACCAACTATTATGCAAATTACTTCTAAATTACCTACTTGTAGGAACATCCAAAACAATTTACAGTTTGGAGATCAAAGTATCTGCCCATTTTTTTAAGTTTATCATTCAACAGTCAGTATTCATGGTATTGATCATTGGTAATACTGATTATGCTGAATTACTTTTTCATGGCTTGTTTATATTTAAAGTTTGCGTAAAATATTGTCTAACACTACATACTAATGCACAATAGTTTGCGATATATTATCTGTATTTAGCTCTTATGTCCTTTTTCAAAACAAATTATCACCATTCCTGAACGTCAGATCAAAAGTCACGTTAAAGTTACTTGAAACAACTCTTCAAGGGGTATGTTTTAAGGCTAAACTTCTATTCATATCCTTTTCTAACTGTTTTCAATTGGCATTCCAAATTTCCCGTCATTCATCTCGGTCAATCATTATTGCAGGATCTACATTTTGTATTACTTATTTTATTTTTTCTCGTCTTGAAAACTGGAAAATGCATGACGTATTTGCCACTTGAGATAAAACAAATAACAATCGATCAATCGATCACAAATTGCTTGACCGACAAGATATGTACATGTCTCAACCCACTATCGACATGTTTGAGTAGTCTTAATCTTAAAATACAAGAAACATAAGATCCTCTTGAATTTTACCGACCGTGTTCTCTTCCCGATTGTGCCAATGTTGACTTGAGTGGATGCACATAGTAGAAGAGAGGTGAAAGATACCAAAGAGACATTCAAATTCATAGGTCGAAATAAAACTGACAAAGCCATGACAAAAATAGAAAAAAGACATACAAAACTATACACATCACAACATAGTAAACCAAAGACTGAGCAACACGAACCCCTTCAAAACCGTGGATAATCTAAGGGGTTCTAGAAGGGTGAGGAGATCCTGCTTCACATGTGACACCCGTCGTGTTGTTCATATAAAAACAAACCCGGTGATAAGTCTAATTAGGTAGGTCAATAGGTAATTATTGGTCTTTCCTACCGATTTATAAAATTTAAACAACAGTTAACTATTGTATTTAATAACGAGTATTTTTTTGACTGCCTAGATTTATTTGTTTTGTCTAAAATTCAACCAAAGCTAATCTAATATATAAAAAATAATAAGCCGACCATACGGTTTGGTGTTTCCTATTGTTGAAGGCCATACAGTTGCCTATACTTGCTTGCATCCACTTCATTAGAACTTTGATGGATAGTCTCATTGTTAATCATACCACATCTCTTTATTTTTATGTTCTTCATTCTACAAGATACTCTAAGTACATAAGGATACGTGCAATAAATTTTATATTACTTGGTCACCTAAATGCACCACGAAACCTCTTTTTTATTTATTCTAAATTTCATTTTTAAGGAGTAATTCATGAAAAAACGTTGATGACGTTACGGTCACAAGACAAAATTACGTCTATGAGTTGATAGACAAACAACTTTCAGCCAATCAGAAGACGTGTTTCATCCAAAATTGATTTTTTTTATATTTACTATAAGTTTTGAAATAAAGCACCCGATAAGGTCTGCTGGGTATCATGACTTACTCTAGAAATTGACTCGTCAGCGTTAAATGAACCTAATCATGATTTGACTGTACATATTTTAATTAGTGTGTTATCTTGCCGACTTGTTCCTCTATTCTTATGACGCTGACGTCATACAAGAACTTCTAAGGAAGAAAGAAAAGAAGTTAGCAGTATCCTTAAACTTTACTTTCCGCTATATAGATGATGTTCTCTAACTAAATAATTCAAAATTTGGTGACCATGTTGAACGCATCTATCTCATCGAACTTGAGATAAAAGAGGGACGAAAGATACCAGAGGGACAGTCAAACTCACAGATCGAAAACATAAAGGATACAACATATACAGTTAAGTCTGCCTCATAACTTGACTTACATCTGGAAATTGACATTGAGAGTCGGTTGAAAACAAAACTTTACGACAAAAAAGATGATTTCAGCTTCCCTATTGTAAACTTTCCATTTCTATGTAGCAACATTCCAGCAGCGCCTGCATAAGGAGTATATATCCCCCAATTGATACGTTACTCCCGGGCTTGTATTTCCTATCACGATTTCCTTGATAGAGGGTTGCTTCTCATAAGGAAGCTAATAAACCAAGAATTCCAAATGGTGAAATTAAAATCATCTCTTCGCTAATTTTACTGACGCCATCACGAGTTGGTTGATCGTTATGGAATATCCGTTTCACAGATGATAGCGGATATGTTCCTACTATCGTAACTACAATCCCGTCCCCTTTTCACGAATGTGACCTACAGAATTAGACATGTTACGGGGTTTGTGCTAACATGAGTAACATGACGGGTGCCACATGTGGAACAGGATCTGCTTACCCTTCCGGAGCACATGAGATCACCCCCAGCTTTTGGTGGGGTTCTTGTTGCTTAGTCTTTAGTTTTCTATGTTGTGTTTTGTATACTATTGTTTGTCTGTTTTTCTTTTTTTCTTTTTAAGCCATGACGTTGTCAGTTTATTTTCTATTTATGAGTTTAAATGTCCCTCTGGTATCTTTTGTATTAGCTGTTGTATGCATAGTCCCGTTCTTTTTTACGCTTTTACTACTCCAAAAGTGCTATATATAACAGGACGTTTACAGATCATGACAAACAAAACTAATGCCCCTAGTGGAACTTTTAATTGGTGACCTTCATGAAGTTAATTCCCTGTGTATGTTTTTAGATTTGTGTTGCTAAATCATTAGTGTTTTATGCAGTGTTTTGTTAAATCCGCCTTGTCTGTTTATTTTGTTTGATTTGGATCATGGTGTTGTCTATCCGTCTTCGTTGACTTATGATTACAACATTTGGTATCCTTCTTCGGTGTTTAATGTTGCTATATATACATATACATGACATATGATGTATCTAATCGATGTGCGTATTTTGTTTAAAAGTTTTAAGTATTTCTTTAGGAAACTATAGTCAAAATAAATTCTGTAATAGTTTTACACCGAGGGATAGGTGTGTCTGGATAAGAAACCCCGTCGGCCGGAGGCCGGAAGGGTTTCATATCCAGACACATCGTATCCCGAGCTGTATAACTAACTTACACCCCATTCTAAACCCTATATTTGTTAACATTGATTATTAAATAAAAAAAAAACAAAAAAAGATAGCATATTTATTGATAATATCAAACCATGATTTATAAGAATATTTTTTTTGTTACATGAAACCCCACTAGTAACCTCTCTTTGGTTATCTTCGTTCAAACTTTGACAAGTGAGTATATTTTACAAATGTCAAAGTTGTTTTGCATATTCCCGTTAAATCCATGTGCTAATATGGATCAGCAGGTCAAGGTTGACTGTTTCGTGTATTCTTATTACAAACATAAAAATACATCATGCTCCTGGTATACAGTTGTCAATATGGACGGGTATTTTGTGGCAAGCGTTGGATTTGGTAGAAGAGACTATAGATAAAGGCAATATTATAACCCAAAGTACTTACCTGTATCAGTCTAATAAAGGTAATCATAACTGTATTTTATATCTTACGATTTTATCATAAAACAAAAGCCCCCCTCCCTCATCTCGAGAATAAACAAACATTCATATTCGAACATACTAAGGAATAGGTGTGTCTGCATTAGAAACCCGACTACAAGACACGCTCAACATACAATATTTAAAATTGAGGAACTCCCTTTTTTGAGGGGCAATCATGCAGGGGCTGATCCAGCCTGGGGTTCCCAACTCAAGAGAAAAAAGGGGAGGGGTGGTCCAACCATTCAAATGCATTGATTTTTTAAATATAAGTCGGGTGCAACCCGCGGAACCCCCAACCCCGGATCGGCCACTGGGTAACCGAGGGAGGGGGGTCCGGGACGAAAGATACCAGAGGGACAGTCAAACTCACAGATCGAAAACATAAAGGATACAACATATACAGTTAAGTCTGCCTCATAACTTGACTTACATCTGGAAATTGACATTGAGAGTCGGTTGAAAACAAAACTTTACGACAAAAAAGATGATTTCAGCTTCCCTATTGTAAACTTTCCATTTCTATGTAGCAACATTCCAGCAGCGCCTGCATAAGGAGTATCTATCCCCCAATTGATACGTTACTCCCGGGCTTGTATTTCCTATCACGATTTCCTTGATAGAGGGTTGCTTCTCATAAGGAAGCTAATAAACCAAGAATTCCAAATGGTGAAATTAAAATCATCTCTTCGTTAATTTTACTGACGCCATCACGAGTTGGTTGATCGTTATGGAATATCCGTTTCACAGATGATAGCGGATATGTTCCTACTATCGTAACTACAATCCCGTCCCCTTTTCACGAATGTGACCTACAGAATTAGACATGTTACGGGGTTTGTGCTAACATGAGTAACATGACGGGTGCCACATGTGGAACAGGATCTGCTTACCCTTCCGGAGCACATGAGATCACCCCCAGCTTTTGATGGGGTTCTTGTTGCTTAGTCTTTAGTTTTCTATGTTGTGTTTTGTGTACTATTGTTTGTCTGTTTTTCTTTTTTTCTTTTTAAGCCATGACGTTGTCAGTTTATTTTCTATTTATGAGTTTAAATGTCCCTCTGGTATCTCTTGTATTAGCTGTTGTAGCCATAGTCCCGTTCTTTTTTACGCTTTTACTACTCCAAAAGTGCTATATATAACAGGACGTTTACAGATCATGACAAACAAAACTAATGCCCCTAGTGGAACTTTTAATTGGTGACCTTCGTGAAGTTTATTCCCTGTGTATGTTTTTAGATTTGTGTTGCTAAATCATTAGTGTTTTATGCAGTGTTTTGTTAAATCCGCCTTGTCTGTTTATTTTGTTTGATTTGGATCATGGTGTTGTCTATCCGTCTTCGTTGACTTATGATTACAACATTTGGTATCCTTCTTCGGTGTTTAAT